GAGAATATTAATTCTTACAAGAAAGCACCCCTGGCAAAGGGTAATTCATTATTCTACCCCGAAAAAGATTTACAGGTCTCGTTTTGTTACACATTTACCGTCCGTTATGGGGTGGTTCGGCTAATTTATTGCCATATTTGTGGCTAAACGACTGTTGAAACGGACAAAGCCGGGCGATGTTTCATAGCGATTTGGATGTACAAGCACAATTTATAGCGGCGTTAAGAGATATATTTCTTTTGTAATTTACTGTCCGAGCGTTGGTTAATGATGTAAACAGACTTCGTGGCGTGTTCATTTCTAATGACGCGTAAAATGCTGGTGTAAGGTTTACATAACTTCCGGTGGTAAGCTGGTTTTTGTATATGCAACTATTATAGCCTAACACCATAGGTTTTACCTCAAAATCTTCAAGCATTGATTTTATTTCCTTTATAATGAAAATATAATGCAATAATAATGTCCTGCAAACTAAACTGCGAACTATCTCGGTGCTTAATCCCAACTGACAGCCATCTGCGCAGAACAGGCTCATAGTGCACGAGTGTGTGCGCAAGCCCAGGTGCACTCTCTATTCCCTTACTCTTAAAATCGAATGGGATTGCAATCCGTCACGGACGAGAGTCAGTTGAAGAACCAACGACTTTACGTGCTTTGCGAGGCACGGGGGTGAATTCGGAACGACATAGCTTAATGTTAAATAATTTAATCATTTTATAGTTTTCCATGACCCAATAAAAAAACTTAAACTTAAACACAAGTAAATTTACATTATACTTTGCAAAGCTCTCCTCTCATTTTTTTTTTGAAAGATTCATATTTCATTAGAGAACATTTTGCCACAGGTTAGAAAGGGAGCGATCGCCTTCTCGAAAGCCCGGTAAAAAGCCCACGCGTGCGAGGGAGAAAACCAATCGCTCAATTCAACTCACCTTATATGTATGACAGCAGTATTCGTAAGCCTACGAGGTCGAAGGATTGCGCGGGAAATTTGAAATAGTTTGAAACAGTTTACAAGTTATTTTATTACTTGATATAATTGATTGATTCATCTTAATGAGGCAAGCCGGGCTTCTGGGCTTGTATAGAGGCTTCGCCACTGGCGTGAGCCAGTACGTTGCTTTCGTATTGTGAGTTCCAATCGGAGCTTTTTACATGATAGAGCCATGCTACGGCTATATTATTATAGTTGTGGCACAAATGGGTCGGCTCAACCGGAAGAGGACCACTCTCTCACACAATACTAGTGTGAAATAGCAGCTCAATGCTGCTGTGCTTCTTATGGTAAGTGTAGAAAACCAGAGACCCTTTTTACTGGAAATGAAGCATTCCATCCATACATTTAATCAATTTTTTATTATGTTTAATCCTCAGGGGTGACAACGCAACTGCACTTTGATTGTTAACCGAGGATAGATGTAGGTGTCAATGGTCCACAGTATCCACTTACTTAGGCTCGTTTGCCCCCTCTCCTATAAAAAAATACTATCAGATGGACTATGAACTCGTTTGTCACACTTATTAAAAATACTCAAGGCCTGAGCTATCACAGCGCTTACAATAAACTTTAAATGATATGTCCCTGTTATGTAATGGTCTGGGACTTACAAGTCCTATGTATATGTGAGACATAACAAAAAGAATGCGCCAACAGTGTTACTTGTCTAGCATATCCTAAAAAGCTACTAATAGGATATTGGATTTGTGATTGTATATGTGATATATCACTTCTATCACGATATATACAAACTTAAATCTTATCTCGTGGGTAAACTTCTCTTGTTCTACCCCCTCGGGGATAACAGGCGTGCAGCTATGACTCTTCGATATATTTAACTCCAAAAAGTGTGATGGGAGAAGTTCAAACAGATTTATATGACTGCATTTATAAAGATATAATAAGCATTAATCATACGCGTTATCAAATTCATTTTATTTTCGCAAATTATGTTAAATTATTATTTTCTTATAAACGATTTGTTTACAAACTCCTTTCTCAATTTTATTCCTTTTTTTTAATATAGAGAATTCTCTATTTTAATCAGTTTAAGAACCACCATCCTGCAAGAAGCACCCCACGGACTTTCCATCAGCAAATACTCCACTAGATTTTAGCGCCTATTTAGACTCTAAAAGCGTTACATCAACCAGGAGTTCATAAACAGCATTAGAAACACGATACGCGGAAGAAGTTTAATTCCGCGTTCCACACCTTAAAAATAATATTCGGAAGGAAAGTTTTAAACGAAAGAATAACTAAGAGCTTTGTTTAACAACGAGCTATTTTCGGGACGCGCCTTATCTTTGTCTTCAATAAAGCTGTGGACAGATTAACGAGCGGAAGCGAAAGTGTTCACAAAAATGGCTTATAACTTATAAGCATAAAGGTATTAAAACAGTAAACGTATATAAAACCATGCGGCGCTGGAAGAATCACTACTAACTCATATTGTATCTTTGATGACGTAAAAGGCGACTGAGGGAACAAACCAAAAAATGGGCTACAGCGTCTTCCAGATAACAATAAAAAGAACTACGGTAGCCAATCCAAGATGATCCAATGCCAAGAGTGGCAACTATGGCAATTATCTCCCTTATGAGGCAATTTATGCGAAAGGCATATGTTCAGCAAGAGACTTTTATAGCCTATAAAAGTCTGCTACAGACTTTTATAGGCTTCTTTTCCTTAAATAGATTTTGAGTTATCCTTAATTTTCATTTGCCTGAGAAACACAAAATTGACTTAAAATAGATAAATATGTTTACATCGAAACAAGTTATAATTGTAAGGATAACATATATTGACAATTACATTTCAAATTCAAACTAACATAAAATAAAAATGTGGGTAAATGAAAAACAATTACATCGACTGCAAACAATTCAAAACATTGCACACTTTATATTATTATAACATTGAGTAGCAAATGCATGGTCTTATTACGTGTCGGAAATCGAAGCACATCTATTGCTGTCGTAAATTTCTATCTATGCATATAACTAGTAGTTAACGTAAGTTTAAAATATTAGGATTTATTTTGTTGTGCTTTAGACGATCTTATTTAGAATAGATTATGCTGCATTTAAAACTTAATTATTAAAACCGTATAGTTAAGAATTATTACATTGCATAGATAGTTTAGTATATAATTACTTATGTACTTAGATTATTGGGTAATTATATTAATATATTTAAAATTATTAATTTATTAGAATTACTAAATTGGAATATAATATAATTATGTAATATTATTAATTTCTTAGAAGAGAAATTATAAAATTACGTTAATATATTATATCATTACTTAGATTTGAATATATTATTATGTTGTAAGAATTTTTCATATTGTATTATAAATTTTATTGTGTCCTTATTTTTATTGTATTTATTCAATTAAGTTGTTGAGTGTGTAAAGTTAAACATTAATACAGATGTTGCACATTTTTCAACTCTACTTCTAATTGTGCAATGTTATCGTCGTGCCACAGAGTACGTCCATTGTACGTCGCTAGGTCCAGTTTGTGGTGGTATCTTCTCCCGGAGATTCTTAGCACCTTCTGTCCCATTGCTGCTATGACCGCCACCACGGTCAGGTACATAGTGACGGCTGGAAACTGGTGGCCGTGTTTTTTTTTTGGTGCTTAACATTGGAAGGTTTTGCCCTTAATCGCCACGCTGGGCAAGCGGGTTGGCGATCGCAGTATCAGACACGTCGCACCTCTGAAGCTGCTGCCCGTCACAGATCTGGATATTTTTGGCCTGGCCAGAGAACTGAGATGGTTATTTCGCCATCTGTCGGATGCCAAAGCTTGTTCTTCTTTTTTTGTTTTTTGTTTTTTGTATTTGGCTTTTCGCCCTTAGTCGCCTCATACGACATCCACAGGTAGAGAGGTAGTGGCAAGTTTCTAACGCCGCTGCCACACGGAGTCAAGATTGAAATTTTATATATCTACATATAAATAAAATAATTGAAGTGTCAGACTCTAATAACGAAATAATTGCCTGTTACTGAGCTCAGGGAGCTATTTACGGCACCGAAAAGATAAAGAATATTAATGCAAGGAGTGAACTAGGCTATATTTACCTGTATTTATCTTGCAAAAATATTTTTTGCATAATTGAATTATAAAAAAATAAATGGTCTTTGATGATTATTTTAAACCTAAAAGACGCCACATTAATAGATCCCACTCAGACGAAGCCACTAATAAATAAATCAACAAAAAAAACTTTTCTCATATCCTAAATGTGAGAACTATGTACTACTGATAACTGATGTTACTTATAACCAATTTATCTAATCCGCCATCATGTTATTAATTCGCTACTCTTCAAACAATGGTATCACCACAATATTGTGCAACACAACCATGCGTGTACATTTTGTCACCGACAGTTCAGGACCATTTTAAATCACTCTGCTCACACACTTGTTACGGGATGCATTGATATTTAATTTTCAATGTCTTCTAGCACCGAGATTTAATCTTACTATTGAATCAATGTACTAAATATTTATCACCAATAAATTACAGCTTTGTTAACTAAGAGCTTACTATTATTATAATTATTTTGTTTATGTAGTGTATGTTTATTTTAATGCCGGTTCAAAAAGTTTAACCTCTATAGAAAACATCGACAGGAAACATTGATTTTCTTTCTTTTTCTTTCAATTGTATTTTTGTATCTTTTTAGGTACATATCAAATAGACAGTCGAGAAAACACTTGCTGGACTGTAAAATTAACTTAATTTTATTTAAAAAAAAGCCTTCCTTCACCGTCGACACTTTTAATATTCATATTTCAGCTACAGAGAACACACTAATATTAGAAATATGAATATTAAAAATCCTCCGCCGGACTAGCCTCCCCTGAATGGAAACCGTTTGCAGTTATCACACTACACGACCTTGAAAATAAACTTCAAATTAATAGTAACCATTTGCAGTTATCACACCACACGACCTTGAAAATAAACTTCAAATTAATAGTAAATTAATGCATGACATCGGCATGAAAGTTCAGGTGCTTGACATCCTGAACCTCGTGAGGATGCCATACCGTTGGTCCTGCACTTGAGCTCTTTCCGATCGTGTCGAATTGCCGTCCGATAAAATGTAATTTTCTCGATAGAAAAAAATTGTAATGTTAGCTCTAATTAGTTACATTTCTCTATTCCACCACAATATTTTTAGAGTGGAATTATTTTTAAAGCATAGTAAACCACCATATCTAATTTTACGTAAACCATTTTTTTTAATCCATTACGAAGTTTAATTAAAAACCTGAAAATGATGTTTGGCGCTTACATAGTTTATTTCCGAACGCGTAATCGGTATAGTTATCTCATAATTTGCGTACATGAAGTTATTGCATCACTTACATTTTGATACTCCCTCAACTGTCCGTGAGCTTCACCGACAAAAGGCTAACGCCTACAAAACTAAGATTCATTTTCAAGGTATCCTCTTAAACCTTTTGTCGTATCTTTTCAACTACAGGGCACTTTCTGTTTGCCTCAGCCAGCACCGGAATCTTCGGCCGTCGACATATGCCCCCGACAAATAAAAAATACACTCTCCGTATATAATCCAATCCTGCAATAATGACTATTCCCAGTTAAGACTGGCCGCCATTACCAAAATTCTTTCTGGAGGACATTATTATTATTAGAAGTAGTCACGATAATATAAGTACATACCAAGTATATACCAATTCATACAATTATTATTGTAATTGCAGCAACCAGACGAGCTGGCCAAGTCCGTGAAGCTGACGTCGCGCGAGCGTCGCTTCATAAAGTTCGCCAGCGTGGAATACGGCGGGCAGCTCTACATGACGCCACAGGACTTCCTCGAATCAGTCGTGGAGCAGGAGCCGAGACGTGAGACACTTAACTAAAAATAAAATACTTACTATCAGTGCCATTATCACTATTACCATTTCCTAACTTGTTTCCAATGTCTTTTACTTTTTGGAAGAAGTCGTCGAATGGCGGATTCGAGCCCACGACTTTTTACTTTCGTAATACCTTTAAGCTGCTGTCGCATAAATCTGCTAACTATTTACTTTTAGCACAAATTAAATCAATTTTATTTCGAATATCATATACAGAAACGTGTTAATTCAGAAGATAAACGCTTACTACTTATAAAGTTTCATGATCTTATTGAACATATTTTATGAATAACGGCGGTTTATTGTTCAGTTTGGAGGTAACTTTGGATTTTTATTATATCGAGAAAATTTTACGGAATCATGTTTTCGTCTAACATAGTACTTAACATTAATCCTCAACTTTACCATATATTTATTTCAAAATTAATGCTGCAATGTTTTCGCCATAACGGAGGATCTTGCTTAGCCATTTGAGGTTATATTTCCCCTTAAGCTACTATTTTACGCTGGTATTCTGTGAGAGCGTGGTCTTTCCCCGGTCGAGCCGACCCATTCGTGCTACAACTATACTACTAATATAACTCCAGCATGGCTCTACCACGTGTAAAACTAAACAAAAGTATTAAAAACGTTGAAATTCACTAGTACGTCGCTCGCCTAAAACGGAAATACGCGAGCTCTTCTTATTAGTGTGTAGCACACAGCCCTAACTGCATAGTGGGTACGTAACCTGATGGATGTCTAATGGATTGGAATGGATTCACGACCTTTGTGTGCGAGGTCTGCATCCTACCGTTATGCTGGTGCTTAAATATAAAAATATTTATATTGCCTTTTATTGTTGCACAGCTCGGCTGAAACGACGCATCCTGACTACTAAGGAGATCGAGTACCTTCGCGACCACACGCCGCCGCTCAAAAAGGGTTCCTCGCAAATGTTCCGCAGTATGAGAGACAGGGGTGAGATTTCAGTTTCAGCTTACTGGCTGGTTAACAATAACAGTGTAGTAAGGACATAACGTCGTGAGAGACTGGTGCCTATGATAAGTTTTATACTAAAAACCTTAGTTACAGGTCACCAACCCACCCTCAAGGATTTATTTATTCACCATTCATTCATTCATAAAGCCTACCAAAAATCCACCAACGGATATAGGCCATTGATTGCCATAGTTGCCACGCTTAGAAAGCGGGTTGGCAACCGCAGTTTTTTTTTTATTATTTTGAGTTATTGTCGGGAAAACACTTCTGCCCGTTTCCTGTTTCGATTTCCTCTGTCGCCTCTAAGGACAGCCATGGGATGATACGGGGCGGTGTATTACTTACGCTGCCACTGTACACCACAGAATAAGATAGTAGTGTTGCGAGTTTGGGGTTCGTGACAGTAAAGTTACAGCCTATATACGTCCCACTGCTGGGCACAGGCCTCCTCTCATTTCTGAGAGGGTATTAGGGCAAGGAAGTGTCCACCGCGTTGCCCCAATGCGTGTTGGCGGACTTCACAAGTCTTCGAATTTTTTTCTTATTTCTCGGACATGCAGGTTTCCTCACGATGTTTTCCTTCACCGCCGAGCACGTGGTAAATTAGCACTTAAAATTGCAATTAACAATTTCATTGGTGCCAGCGGGGATCGAACCCGGTTTGCTCGCGTACTGTGCAATTTACAGCGAGCGCTAACCATCTGAGCTACCACGGCTCGTGACAGTAAAAACTGCCAATTGAAATACTAAGACACTTTAATTACACAACACCAATTACAACTTAAAACATACTACAAAATAAAACACAATTGTTAAATTATATTATTATTTTCTTTTCAGGTATCATCTCGTACACGGAGTATTTGTTCCTGTTATCAATACTAACAAGTGAGTTTTACGTTTTTCTTATAATTTACGTAAAAGTCTTACTTACCTCTTGATGTCCTAATTTACTTACTTAGAATCTACATCAGAATAAACTGGAGTACGGAGGTTTCATACAAGCGTCTCGCACATATGAGACAATAACACGATACTTATTACGATACAGAAAAAATAATATGATATTTATTATTTAGTACTACCGAAGTAAGCATCGCGTTATTTTTAATCTGCTACTATACTTGAAGACCACACTTGTATGAGTCCGTTGAGAAACTCTTGTTTTATGCTACCATATAATCGTTCAGGCTGACTACATTCAATGAAGTTTTTCTGCTTGTACAAAGGCTTTTGCAACAACTTATTATCAAAGATAACAAATCAGACCAACAAAGATGCTGGAAACCATACCTAACTTATTGTAAGAACATACACTTATACGCACACATATGCGTCTAAAATTATTGGCAACTTTGACTGTGATGGGAGGAAAAGAGGATATCTACAGATCAAGAGGATAAAGTCCAATGCCAAACGCATTGGACTTTACTCGAGTCCAACAATTTGGATCTTTTAGTAGTAGTATTCAGAAAATATTGAAAATTCAAACAATTTACTTCAAAATTCAGTCTAATTACTAACTCGGCTTTTATTAAGCTGTTTGTCTGGCGATTTTGAGTTTTGTCAGGAGTCTGGAGATCATTTAAAATATCGGAAGAATCCTGACGAATCCGGACTATCTGGCAACCCTAGTGTATTAGTACAGACCTGATCTATATACATATAACGCAGTACTACGGAACTTTGATACCGCGATTCAGGCTTGGGTGCGACACAACCAACAATAGGTGGTTTTAGGTGCGTAGGTGTGGGTTCAGTAGTGGATTTTTACGATCTCTTAGAAAGATGTGTGCGTGCGTGCGTGACAAGAAGCCGACCATGGTTCTAGCCTCACTTGAAGCGTACATAGTGTTCTGTCTATCCTTTTTGTAGGTCTGAATAATAAACCTTAAAATGTATTTTCAGAGCCGGCGTCAGGGTTCCAAATAGCGTTTAACATGTTCGACACGGACGGCAACCAAAGAGTAGATAAGAACGAATTTCTAGTCGTAAGTACACAGATTCTTTTTTTTTTCAACAATTATTTTCAGTAATAAAGATATATAGTAGTAGGTAAGGTTATACAGCTAGGATTTGTATAGTTCAAAACCAGAAATGTGACATTTTGTTAATCTTTCGCCACACCGAATAACACTAATTTAACGGACTTTATGCCGCGTAATTTTAAACTTTTTAATCGCCGACATTTTGGGTACTTTACAGAAGTCATGGTCGCGGGGGCTATTCCAACTTTAGTGTTATTCAATGTATTTAAATCGTCATTCGCCATAAAAAATTTGGGCCAACTTCTTACAAGCACGCATTTATCTATTACTATTATGCAGGCACTACACGTTCGTCCAACCTTTCCTAACGTTCACTCGAATCTGAGCGGACATCATTAACAGTTGTCGACTATATTTAAAAAAATAACAATGTAAAACTGACACTTCATGTAAGTGAGTCAACTCGGCTTTTCTGAATACACCCAATGATCCGCGATTTACACATCCGCTGCTGGAGTGTTCATTGGAGAGTTTGTTGATCCGTGTAGAGCCGGCATTATCACTGCTGTGGAATAATTAACTTTACCTATATGCTTAAATTCTTTTTTAGAGAATGCTTAGGACTAAAACAAAATGCTAAGACCAAATAAGTACTTACAAACAGTTGTAATCTATATAAACAGTGCACTACTTTGTTTAAAATAAAAAAGTTACGCATTAAGCATTTAGCTCGTAGTTATTTATAAATAGCTCTCTAGATTAAATCTTGAATGATACAGTTGATTTCATACATTATGAGTTGGGCGGACGCTTTATGGAATCAAATAATGAACATCATGTCTCCAAAAAAAATATTCTTAACAAAAATCCGACGAGGACTTTCGTACATTATGATCTAGTAAATTCTTAATTTGTCAGCAACGTAAGGAATATAAATAATGCCTTAATAATTATATTAATACATATTTAATACTCATTTTTACGTACGCAAGCCCACAGAAACCTTATGATTACGATTTCTGTGCGCACGCCAAACTCTACACCGAGAGAAATCAATTTGGATGTGGTTTTCAGTGATGTATTGAGATATGCTAATTTAGTGTTATTTCAAAAATATTTAAAAAAAAAAACGACAATTATAACGTGCGTCGTACGTGAAAATAGTGTATGGAAAATTATAAAAATTTGGATGCAATATATATTATTCATTTCTCTTTCTTCTGCTTATCTTTTCTTACGCAACCGCCAGCACCATTTTTATACTTTAGCCACAGACCAATAAAAAATAGGAGTAGCGGGGAGAATAATACAGTGAAGGATAAAAGAAAAGCCAAATAATATCAGCCCACAGTGTTCACTAATTGTTGTAATGTCTGCAACAAAATTTTGTTATTTTGTGGCAAATAAAGACAACTGGATTTGTATTTTGGTATTTCTTGCGTTTTAAGTGAAGTTTACATCTACTCGATCTGTATTTATTTAGCGATTCTAATAGATTGATAGATAGATTTTTTTACATATTATATATGCAATATATATATATAGTGTAAGTGTAAATAGGTAGTTGGCTTTAATATAAAAATATTTATCCGAATTTTTAAAAAAAAACGATATTTTCTTTCATAAAATTTAAATAGTTTCTGTCCGACACCGTCTCTAAATTCATGGATGGATGTTCATGTATCCATGAATTTACAGACGGTGTCGCATAGGGTTATGCGCCCGAGTGACGTAATCACTGTAAAGCTCACCGCCCGCGCTAGCTACCTACACAACATTCCAATAAAAACACAATATGTACACATTACCTGTGATGTAACTTTTCCTTCATACTTTCATCCTGGCTTAGGACAGGCAAAAATTGAGGAATTAAGGAAAAATTGAGATTTTACTAAAAAAAATGTTGTTATTTTTCATTGAATTTACGTTCTATAAGTGAAACCCAACCACTGGTTTCAAGGATAACGGTGTTTACACTAACAACCTGTATATGTGTATATATATATATATACGTATATGCTAGTGCTTGTCCGCAATCCCACCTGGTAAGTGGTGATGTAGCCTTAGATTGTAAGTCGCAATGTCGCGCATCAAAAGCCTATTCACTCTTTCCTTCAAGACGCCCAGATTGTATTCGTCCGGAAAGACAGACGGCGGCAAATAATTACTTAAATTATTATCATTTATTATTACTTTAAAGGAGCTGACTTTGGTGTAAGCATTTGTTTTATGTTTATTTATTTATAATATACGTATTTTATTTATTTAATTTATTTTACGAACATGTGTTTGCGATATGAATGTAGATCCAGCGTCTGCTCGGAGGATCATTGAAGGATCGGAAAGACCTGGACCCGAAAACTCAACAGGCAGTGAGTTTTGTAATGCTTTCGACGGTCATTGTGGCTCTGTTTTAAATTACCAATTGAATTTTGGACTACGTGATCTGCATCGAAATTTTTGTTTTCTTTAGCGTCACAATTTTTAATTAATCATTATTACATTTCAACTTTCGACTTTAGGAGTTGGCCTAGAGAATATTTAAGCCAAGGGAAAACAACATCCTTTAGTGCATAATTTTAAAGCACAACTGGACTGAGGCATATACTGTTCCGGACCGATCAGCCGATGCAGTCCAGTAAGTGTTTCTGATGCCTATCTCCCAGGCTGCAGTTGCCTTTATCGACTATATTCATGCTTATTAGTTTTCTTATTTAAAAAAAGTCACAAACTTCATAAAATCCGTTAAATTAGTCTCATGCAATGAAAATTCCACTGCTGAAAAGGGGCTTCCCCGTTGTAGGGTAGATTGGCCTTAGTTGTCACGCTTGGTAGCCGAGCCGGATTGAGAATCGCAGTACATCTCGCCTTTTTAAAGCTACTAGGCGTCGAAAATCTAGGTATATTTAACGCTTACACGAGATTGTTATTCCGTTATCAATAAGAAGCTGTAGATTTTTTAGCATTACCCATACATGGTTTAATGGCCGATTTACACTTCGACAAGTAGATACAGTAGCGAGTTGACTTGCGAACCTGGCGAGCCGACTAAACTCGCAGAACGAGCGAGTTTAGTCCAGTGTATAAGTTTACTGAACGCTACGTGTTCGCGTTCGACCCTCAAAATATAAAAGTGTACTTTTTTTACTAAACTCAAACGGAGACATTTGAATGCTACTTCCCACTTAATCGTTTACTGTGAACTGCCCTGTAACTAAACTCTACTGCTTGTCGAAGTGTAAATCGGCTATGACGAGACAAAATGGAGCGAGTCAATGAATTCGTATTCGTAAAGCGTATCTACGCCGTCACCACACGGCCATTTTGTATAGGTCAATAATGACAATTGAACCGTGCAGTGACGATGTAAGAGTATCCCGTGGGTACCGTAAGAGACGGCAGAGGAAAACTGAACCAGGAGATGAGCAGTAGCGATTTTCCTGATACATCGTTTTATTTTTGCAACAAAGCATGAAAATAGGAAGGGCACCTGGATATGATAGAGCTTCACTCGAAATGCTAAGGGCTGGAGATGACGTGGTGGCAGGCCTGCTGTACACCTTGTTTAATTTATGTTGGGAACTAAAGCGGGTACCGGGAGACTGGTTTAAAGCCGTGATAGTCCCAATATATAAGGGAAAAAGGATCACAGCAGGACTGTAAAAACTACCGTGGTATCAGCCTTCTTAGCGTTGTGGGAAAACTGTAAGCTAAGGTACTAATTGAAAGAGTTATGAAAGAAACTGATGAAAAAATTTGGGATATTGCAGCGGGATTTAGAAAGGGAATGGGGTGTACAGATCAAGTCTTTTCCATGCGCATGATCGCGGAGAAGTTTTTGGCGAAAAACCAAAGTTTTTTGGACTTGGAAAAGGCTTATGACAGAGTGGTCAGGGATGTGTTATGGCAAACGCTGAACGCATTTAGGTTGAGCGCTGGTTTAATACAGGCATTAAAGTCTCTGTATAGGCTTGTGTTAGAATCAACAGGGTCTACTCGGACTGGTTTGGCATCCATAAAGGTGTCAGACAGGGCTGTGTAGCTTCCCCGTGGCTGTTCAACCTATTTATGGACAGTTGTTTGGAAAATTTGAAAGTTGAAGAATGCAGGTTAAGAATGGGTGAGTTAACCATCAAATGCTTTTGTATGCCGATGATCAAGTCATACTTGCGTCGTCGGCGGCCGTGTTGCAAATGATGGTTACATTAATGAACAGCTCATTAAAAGAAAGGGGAATGAAAGTGAACGCAAGTAAGACGAAAGTGATGGTTTTTGAAAGAGAAGAAAGCAAAACTGTATGTGAAATAAGAATAGAAGGAGAGTTAATTGAGCAAGTGGATGAGTTCGTATATTTGGGATGTGTATTCAGCAGGGATGGGAGATATGATAAGGATATTGAACGACGAGTGAATGCAGGAAATAAAGTAAATGGGGCTCTACACTCTATTGTGAAAAGTCAGAATGTGTCAAAAAAGGCAAGTATGGCAATTAATGCTGTGTTGTCCCTACTTTAACGTATGGCAGTGAAAGTTGGGTGTGGCAGAATAAGCACGAGAGTAGAATGAATGCAGTAGAAATGCGGTCGTTAAGGAGTATGTTAGAGCTGAATCTGAGTGACAGAGTGGGAAACTGTGTGATAAAAGAAGAGTGTGGTTAGCAAGATGATGCGGTGACCAGGATTAAGAAAGGAATGCTTCGGTGGTTTGGTCATGTAGAAAGAATGAATGCGGAAAGACTGACAAAGCAAATATATGTTGCAGAAGTGAATGGAAGAGTCGGAAAGGGACGTCCTAGGCGGAAGTTTGTCGACCAAATTGGCGATATACTAAAAATGGGCCAAATTAAGAGTAGCCTTAACCGACCGTAGGTATATGGATGTGGAAGAGGCGAGAGAGGTATGTCAGGATCGTGCTAAATGGAAGTCTGTAGTATCTGCCTACCCCTCTGGGTGACAGGGGTGAGTGTTTATGTTTTATGTTTATCGTTTTATTTTTATTTTTATACATCTGAATAAAAAGAAAAATAAAACTGTTGTTAACCTTTTTACCAAGCGTGGCAACTATGGCAAATATCCCCCCCCCCCCCAGGAGGCAATCTTCAGCAGAGGAATTGTAATAGGCTGTAATGGTACCGATAAATGGTAATAATAATAATGAAAGCAGTTCATTCATTCATTCAAAATTATGCTTGATTTTAAAGTCCAAAATCTATTGTTAATTCAATACAGTAGCTCAGTCGCTTAATCTGTATCCCTCTTGTCCTAAAGATCTACATTTAGGTCGTGTTCCGATATACACTGCGAGCACGACTGGTAAAAATTCGTTCCGTTATGGACTGCCAGTATAGTGCTGCAGTACCCTAGGGACTATGACGTCATAAATCGGCTCCATTTTTGTACTGTGAGCATTGGCGCTTGCGAGGTAAGGTGCTCTCAGTACTTTGATCACGTGATCAAAAAACATGACAGCGCCTAGAGATTTAACAGCTTCCACGAATGATTGTTATTATTATTACTTAATATTGTTATTCAAATAAAATTGGACATTAAGTTTTAAAAGCAACAACATTCAAATAATAATTTTTCTTATTGAACAGGAAACTTGTACATAATATTTTCATTTGAAAACAGTGTCAAAAAAGGGAATGACAGTGTACTGGACTCCGTTTTAAACAGTAACTAGCATAGCAAACTAAAAGGGAACGGCTTCACAGTATACTGAATTGACGTCACACTTTACGTTGGTACAGTGTATATCGGAACACCCCTTTAATTACAATTTTATTTTGGATTCCGTACTCTTTATTTCATTATTTAACAATTATTTTTCTTTTTTGAATATAAAGTCTAGTCTCCTGTCCATATTAATATTATCTGCCCCAATTCCGTTATTCGAGCGATACAGGTATAAAGTTTCGCTTTTTCTTTGTTATGTGATAATATCTAATTATTTGTACAAAGAAAACCACCAAGCCTGCTTAATGCAAAGGATATATGTATTAATATGTACTTATGTGTGTATTATGTACTCACCGCGTGGTTCTGTAGCTGCTTACATTAGAATCCTCAAATGCATTGAAGAACGACATGAAGCAAAAGGAAAATAGTTATAAGCCGTCGACAGTAAGTTACGATTGCAAAGTGAAATCAAATTCTTTTTTGATACAATTTGTGAAATTGTCAGAACTTGTGGATTTGTTTGATATTCGTGAATTTAAATTTGGAATTTTCTAATCTTGAGACTGTTCGTTTCAAATTGTCTGTATTGCAATTGGTTGAATTTAAATTTGGAATTTTCTAATCTTGAGACTGTTCGTTTCAAATTGTCTGTATTGCAATTGGTTGAAAAGGCTTAAACAAACGAACCAACTTATAGGGGTGACCAACCTTTTTTTTTTAATAGATATATTGGATTGTAGTGACATTAGTTTTTCGTATTTTAACTTTTAGCTACAAAGATTCCTATATATTGGTTCGTATATAAAATGTTTAAAATTATTTGTTAATTTAAAATATCGATATTTTCGGGTGAATTGGATTTTCGGAAGTTAGTTTTTAATGACTCTGTAGAGAATTGAAGCTATATCTATCTTTCTTTCTTTCACTAGCAATTTATTGCTTTTTTTAAACTTCACTTTTTCTTTACAATTATAAGCACGCTATAACATTAAATTAATTAGTAGGCTTTTTATTTCCATCTAGCCTAACTTTAGAAAACAATTTTAATTTAATTTTAGTTTGATACATGACATACATTTTCAGTAAAGCTTTTCTATTGCGATTTTTGTGTTTGCCTTGTGATTAATTTTTTGTATGTATGCTTGTATGCATATGCTATAATAAAAAACTGTGTTAATTTATATTTCAAATGATAATAACGATTTGGAACCTCTCAAAACCTAAAGAAGCTCGGGGACTATGCGCGTCGATTATTATAGGGAGGCTACACAGAAATAGCGATTTCTGTGGGAGGCTAGATAAACTTCGAGGAGACTTCTTGATTTTCCTGCCAGCCTAAACGAAAGTATATAGAGTTACAACTTCATCGGCTATCAAGAGTGGATTGTAAGGAACCCAGTTCTCGGAGCTACGAGTTTGCTTTCCCATAGTTCATGCATTACAATGTACACACTCCACTGCTGAATATTGACCTCTCCCATAGAATGCCAAATAGGAGGGATTTTTCCATAGCTGTCGCGGCTGCCAACTGTGACTTTTTATAATTTTGACTTGATATCAGAAAGATGCTGTTGCGCACCTTATTCATTTCCTTGTGTCGACTCTTACGACACCCACGGGATGATATGGGGAAGTGGATATTCTTTCACCACCACACTCTACCAAACTGTGTAGTGGTTGTTTAAGAATATTATAATAGTAGTGTATCTTTAGTTACGTATATAGTAATATTAAGAGATGTTGCATCTCCTTGCGTATTTTATCGCATTTACCATGGAGAGTGCTCTGAGGAATTTTCGCTCTGAGGAATTAGGACTAATTCTAGCAGCAAAATTTTACCATCGCACATCGCGACAAAACCATACCATCTGGATAACTTGCGGTCCACCACTGTGCGATTTAAGACATGTTTTCTTTCTCGCACAACTTCCTTGTGGAATCGACTACCACCATAATTTCTGGACTAATACGACTTGGGGACCTTCAAGAAAAGAGCCTGTTTAAAAAGCTGGCAACGCATCTGCAATTCCCTTGGTGTTGCGGTTGTTCATGGGCGGCGGTAATCACCATCAGGTGAGCCGTATGCTCGTTTGCCCCCTCTCCTATATAAAAATAAGTTATACCACCATCTTTTGGAAACCACTTTCCTTCTTTCTTTTTTTTTTTTGTTTATCTTTCTGTCATATACTATAGTCGCCTCTTACAACGTCGACGGTACGAAATGAATGATGGATAACGATTTGGGTAAGGGATTAAGCCGCCACCACTCAACGTAAACATTGGGTGCGTTTGGCAGAAAAAAGCGCTAGCAAGCGCTTGTAAGCAAAATGGCGATCGTAAGCGGTAAGCGCTGTCAAATCGTAAGTAGCTATTTTCCTCCAGGACACGATGTTAGTTTTAACCGGGGAATCTAACCTAATTTAAATATATGTTTGTAAAGTATTCATATTAAAAACTTACCAATCATGAGTTTTTAATAGCATATATATGTTTATTCATGTCATTATATTACTTAAAACTAATATTGCACAAAACAACTTATAAACTCTACTTCAAAACAAACAAATTAAATAAGCAAAATGGCGGATTGTGTCAGCGCTACTGAAGTAGCAATCGTGTCCTGGCCGAAAACTATTTTAGCGCTTATAAGCGCTTGCTAGCGCTTTTTTCTGCCAAACGCACCCATTGACGATTTGTTATCTTCAATCAAGCTTTATTTACCTGCCTATTAATAATGTAAATCCACATTGCATGACCGTTATAATTGAGCCTAACACAGTGTCAACGCAAAAGAAATGTTGTTTGAGTGTCGCATTTCTATTACCACAAAAATATCACATTAATAGAAACTGTTCTTGTGAAAGTAACACGTAATATTACAGATGGAGAAGATCTTCAGTTTTGCATGGAAAGGCAAGAGAGGAATTGAGAATCAACAAGGTGAAGACAAACAGGGGACAGAAGACAAGCCCCAGGATAACTACGTCAACGATGATCAGGGTTTGCAGCGCAGGCACAGTGTCGATACATTTTTACAAGTTAGTTGGCATTGAATAAAACTATATATAGCCCGTGCGGATAAAGAATGGGATTATATATGGCGGCTCATCGAGTCCCCACCGTCAACATGCACATTACAAATAACAAAAACCCGCTAATAACGGTATATCGTTATTATGTTAATTAAAAAGTTAGGTAGGTATATATATTATTCGGTTAATTGGAAATTTTCTATTAATGGAAAAATATTTGAATAGAATATTCGGTTAATTGGAAATTTTCCATTAATGGGAAAATATTTGAATGGAATTTTTCAACAGTCAATATTTTAAATAATTCCGATGTTCTGATTATTCTTGGATATTATTTATAAGTATAGGTTAGTAAATTAATCACGCAGCTAAGTTTATATTAATTTAAATAACAGCCAAGAAAATATTCCAAATAGGACAGACAGGCAAGAATTTCTATAGACATTTATTTTTTACATGTAGTATTCATCATTGAAAACTCAATTCTGCTACTTGAATCGTCTGAGAACACTTTGATTCCGGACATCCCATTGTATCTTCATGATGATTGTTTGAATCGGAGCAGCTATCGCTTTCACAATCGCTTTTCAGTCCTATATTAAATATAAACTCTTCAAAGTAATTTTCATTCGTTACCCACCTCGTCCAATAATCATTTTCCAATATTTTTATGTGATAAACGTTTTTCGCCAAATCACCTTTCATAATTAAGGTTATTGCTTATACTTCTATTTTTTTGCAGCTAATAGACGTTCTTTTCGGTCACTCTTTGTTGTATCAAATTCCACACATATTCTATCGGGTTTAGATCAATGTTGTATGGTGGTAATCTTAGTGTTTCGTGGCCATGATTAGTTGGCAATTTATCTATAGCGTAATCTTTCTCTGGCTTGTAGTTTTTAACTAATTCTTAAAGCTCATATTTTGTTCATGAATCGTTACAATGTATACAACTTTCGCGTTACCAATTTTGTATACTATTACTATTGATGGTGGTTTACTTACTTGAATGCTGTGATACGGCGCATTGTCCATTACATCGATGCTATTTGAATGTTTGAGATTAATTTTTGCCTATTCATATCATCATGGTAATTGCCTTTTTGATTTTGGCCTTAAAATTAACCCTTCAAAAATCCATTTTGCATGCACAATATAAATATCACTGTTTATATTGTTTTCATTATTTGTTATTTAAGTAAGGAGCATGCAGTATTATTATAGTAATAATTAGAAAAAATATATAGATAGATTCAATGATGGTATTACCATTTTTAAAATACAAGAAGAAGAAGATGAACTGGTCTTTATATAAGAAGATTTCTTATATAAAGACTTCCTTGGGCTTCGACATTTTATTCGTTTCGTTATTTGCCGTTAAAGTGACCATTATAGTTACATAAAAAGTTACAGCCCTGTGGCAAAAAGACAGATACTCAGTAATAGGGTTCCGTTGGGCACGCTACCGGGTAGTGGAGGTGTAAGAATATCTTCTTCCCCATATCATCCCGTGGGTGTCGTTAGAGACGACAGAGAGAAACAAATCAGGAGATGGGCAGCAGCATCTTCGTAATAAACACTAAAATTAAAAAATGCGATTGCCAACCCGCTTGCGAAGCGTGGCAACTATGGCAAAAATCACCCATATGAGGCAATCTGTAGGGGAGGCTTATTCGTTAGTGGACTCTAATAGGATGTAACGGTACGATACTGGGCACAGTTTGAATACGTAACCCGATGAACGTACAACGCTTGAAAAAGCGAATATTGAATAGCGAATACAATATTTTTGATTCACTATTTTTATTAACATTAGTATTAATAAAATCAACAATAATTATGTGAAAACTCTTAGAACGTATCTAGCTCATAAATTTGCGAATCCGGGATAATTTATTTTAAGTTTATGGCATTTTCTTACCATTTATGCAAATGACAAGTCGTACTGAAATTATAGCACGTATGAAAAACTCATATCGCAACATATTTATTGTAGTCTACCGGCGGGTGTGAGTATAGATAGCGATAGTGTGCGAGCGAGAGGTAAATAGAGGCGACGCCATTTTCGGTCTCATTCTTTAACCGTACTAGTAGTATACGGATTTTATCGCATTTAATTAACTTATTTTTAATTCCTGACGTTTCGGGAAGTGCTTTACACCACCCATGGTCAGGGGGGGGGGCGAGACGTTTGACGTCACGATGTCATAGTTAGCCCAACTACATTCAGTTCAGTTCAGTTTTTGAATATTAATTTTTGGTCCGATCTACGCAGAACGAGCTTACAGTATCTTAAAGTCTTGCATTGGTATCCTTGTGTTTGAATTTAATTTTGTTAATTATAGGATCCCAAGCAGATGGCAGCACCCATCCATCTTCTCTATTGAAATTAGGATGTTTTTCAATTTCAATAGCCTCGCGTACCATCCTTGTTAGCAATCGGTGTTTTGACCCGATCACCTTACCAGTGCGTCACATACAACCGTGGTTAGAAAAAATGATCAATCGACATAGGCCCAATGCTTTTTTTATAGAATAAGAGTGACAAACGAGTACAAAGTCCGCCTGATGGTAAAGGGATACTGTGGTCCATAGACATCCACATTTATCCTCAATTAAGTATCAAAATGCAGATGTGTTGTCACTCCTGAGTAGTAAGATGGAATGCCTCGTATCCAGTAAACCGAGTCTCCAGTTCTCTACACTCACAATACCAAACACAATAGCATTAAGCTGCTATTTTAAGCTGGTATTCAGTGAGAGCGTGGTCCTTCCTCGGTCGAGCCGACCCATGCGTGATATAACCATAATATAGTTGCATACCATGCTGGCTCATCCGTGTCGATAAAAGTATTTATTTCGTCTCTTATTTTTTCAATGCGAATTGACTTCAGATTCACTTCTTTGGTAAGAAGGGCACGAGCGATCTCAAATTCGAGGGCTTCAGGCAATTCATGGAGAACTTGCAAACCGAAGTCCTCGAGCTCGAATTTCATGAATTTTCTAAAGGTACGTATAAGTAACACTATCTTCGATTTTCTTTTGGTATAGTTTTATTAAGATTATAAGAATGTAATTCGAAAAACATGGTTACAAAATTTGTCACATTTATGATGATACGGAAAAGTTGCTGATTATTTTAGGATAATTTATGATTACATATTTTAAATAAAATTGACCCTAATTGGTTATCATTTTATATGAGAAAAAGAAAATATTTGTTAGTGTTTAGTACATACACCTGAGATGCAGGTTTATTCAAGTTCAGGAACACATTGTACCTCTTTTTAGATTAAGATTTTGTTCGAATTAATTGTACAGTTTATTGAAATAAAAATGCAAATAAATGAAAACAAATACTAAATTGGTGTATAGGAATATAATAACAACTTGCTCCCAATGTCACTCTGCACACTGTGCGTTTTGCCATGAGCGTTTTCCTAGATTGATACCTACCAGCACTGCTAGATACATTGTATTTTTCTTTTAACCGAGTTTCTTTTTCGGAGTAAGGAGCGCGAGGCTTCTACCTGGTTACGACCTTAGAGCTTACCAATTAACAAACAATTTTTTACCAAGTTGACTTTCAATTTACAATTTTTTACACTTATAGAAAACTATAAAATTGCTAATAACTCCAATCCAAACTTTTCTTATACACTAACTAGATATCACCTCAGTAATTTTTGATGGTTCCCTAGCTCAGAGGACAAGCGTTTGGTCGTGACATAGCAGGGCTTCGATTTCGGTTCCCGAACTGAATACGTATATGGCCTACATACAATGATTCCGGGTCTACAACTGTATTTTTGTATAATTTTTGTTGGTAACTCGTTTCCACAATACAGGTGAAAATCCTCCTGAGATCTTTGAAATCGAATTGTATAATTGAATTTAACAAAATAGTTGACTTAAATATACATACTTAAACTATAACACATTCACAATCTAATAATCCTGAGATAATCATGATTATTTTATTATATTCATTCTTAACATAATATCCAAATATTAAAACATTTAGAAACCTAAACTAAAGATAACGAAACATCTATGAAGTCTTTCAATCTGGATAATTGTTATAACCATTGGAGCTAAGCGCAAGCTAAAAAAGCTAGGCTGTATGACTCTGGTGGGTTTCTTAAACAAACGATACTATGAAACACAGTAAGGGTCTCCCAATACTTTCATCGGGCAGTAGAGAAAATTTTTCAAATTACCGTTCCAATTATGTACAGCCAGTCCTACCTGCAAGAAAAAATCATTTTAGAACAAATGTATTTTAATAAAAATAACATTTATAATTATAAAAGTAAGAGATAAAATGCGGGTATAAAACTAGTGGCCTCTAAGAGTACCGTGACTCTTTCGGTGCCTTATATAATCTCTCAAAGCATTTGATTTTGTAAATCATACATTTTTAATTTAAAAGCTTAAATACCAAGGCATTCATGATGCCGAACTTGACCATATGAGGACATTATATTTCACAAACCAAAAGCAAAAGTTTGCATCAACTGCGTGATGTCATCGAAACGTGTGATAAAGGCGATGTCCCTCGGGGTTCGATATTTGGCCCTTTTTTGTTCTTGGTCTACGTAAATGATCTTCACTGCAAACGGGCTATCCCTATTATAGTAACGATTAGCTGTGGTCGCCACGCTTGACAGGGGGATTGACGATCGTAGACCATCTTTCTCGCACCTTTGACGCTATTCCCCATCATTAGTCAGTGTATTTTATTTGAGGCGCACGTGAGCTATCCACCTAAAAGTAAGCTATGAAATATTTCTGGGATTTTCCATAGTAGCCTTTTATAATATCTACGAGACGATATGGTTTGCACCGTCCCCACACGGACGTATCTAGTATTTAATATAATATAAAAAAAGTTAAAGTTACAGCCTATATACGTCCCACAGCTGGGCACAGGCCTCCCATCATTTCTGAGAGGGTTTTATGGCAAGGAAGTGTCCGCCGCGCTGCCCCAATGCGTGTTGGCGAACTTCACATGTCTTCGAATTTTTTTTCTTATTTCTCAGACATGCAGGTTTCCTCACGATGTTTTCCTTCACCGCCGAACACGTAGTAAATCAGCACTTAAAATTGCAATTAACAATTTCATTGGTGCTGGCGGGGATCGCAAAATTCGGCGAAATTTACAGCGAGCGCTAACTATCTGAGCTACCACGGCTCTTAGTTATTATAATATATCAGAGATTAACTTCAAGGGCACGAGACGATATCAGAAGTGGATTTCGCAAAGATCCTCCTCCGTTATACATACCTTGACACGGACGAGTACGACATGTACTTGGATCGGCTGCTGGACCGTGTGCACGACGGGAGCGGCATCACCTTCGACGAGTTTAAGACCTTCTGCCAGTTCCTCAATAACCTCGAGGACTTCACCATCGCGATGCGCATGTACACGCTCGCTGACCATCCCATCTCTAAGGGTATTTTGTTGTTTGTTGTTGTTGTTATTTGTTTTTCTGTTTAGCTGTTTCATATTTTTTAGTTTGTAGATCAGGGGAATTGTACAGAAGTCCGAAGAGTACAATCTGCCACTTTGTCTGTATGTGGACTATGAGAAAGCCTTTGATTCCGTCGAAATTTGGGCGGTACTACAGTCTCTTCAGCGGTGCCTAGTTGACTGTCGGTATATTGAAGTGCTGAAGTGTTTGTACAGTAGGGCTACGATGGCTATCCGAGTACAGAACCAGAGTACGAAACCTATCCAACTGCAGAGAGGTGTAAGACAGGGTGATGTTATATCCCGGAAACTCTTCACCGCTGCGTTGGAAGACGTTTTCAAGCTACTGGACTGGAAAGGATACGGTATTAACATCAATGGCAAGTACATCACTCACCTTCGATTTGCCGACGATATAGTCCTTATGGCAGAATCGCTAGAGGACCTTAGCACTATGCTCAATGACCTCAATGGTGTCTCCCAACGGATAGGTCTTAAGATGAACATGGACAAAACAAATATCGTGTTTAATGTCCATGTCACACCTATGCCGGTAATTGTTGGGAGCACTATGCTCGAAGTTGTTGACGAGTACGTTTACCTGGGACAAATAGTCCGACTAGGTAAGTCCAACTTCGACCGAGAGGTCAATCGACGGATTCAACTCGACTGGGCAGCGTTCGGGAAATTACGACACATCTTCTCATCAGGTATAATGCTCGGAGTTTCACTGCGTGATAGACTCAGAAATGAGGATATCCGCAGTGAAACCAGAGTGACCGACATAGCCCAACGGATTAGTAAGCTGAAGTGGCAATAGGCCGGCCATATAGCTCGAAGAACCGATAACCGATGGGGAAGAAAGGTTCTCGAGTGGCAGCCTCGTACCGGTAGGCGTAGTGTAGGGCGACCCCCCACTAGATGGAGTGACGACCTGGTAAGACATGCAGGAAGTCGATGGATGCAGGTGGCTCAGGACCGTGCTTTGTGGCATTACTTGGGGGAGGCCTATGTTCAGCAGTGGACTTGTGAAGGGCTGTAATGATGATGATGATGATGAGATCAGGGGATGATCGCTCACCTTAAAATTTTACAGTATGCGATCAAACAGAGTTCAATTCCTACCGACATCGTATAAATTCTGAATCACTGAAAATTAGCGTGTGACTGATTTATCGTGAGCTTGACGACATATTTGAGAAATAAAAAAATATATTTCGCGGTCGTATAAAGTCTACAAACACGCACTAAGGTGGCGTGGCAAACTTTTCTCTCTTCTCCACTCCAAAAATTTTACTAGAAGTGAAAGATCTCAGTCTATGAATGGAACGTATATAGGGTTCGTTACCTTTTGTTTTTTTAAGGACCTTACCACTAGGTATGAACCAGCAACCGAGATGGTTATAGCGTCATCTATCGGAAGCGAGAGGTCTAATTTCGGCCACGGCGGCCTGCCTCAACGGAGGCTAGCCATCGACGCAGTACAGGATTATAGTGCCCAAGTGTATGTGTATTCTCTCATGATTCGATGGGATGGTAAACCGGCACGACCGGAGAGAGTCAGGCGCAGGACCAACGGCTTTACGTGCTTTCCGAGGCACGGGGGTGAGACACCGCCAACTTCCTGACTCCGGGCAGCTGCTGAGATTTTCTTGACAGCAAAACTCAATAATTGATTTTTTGGCCGAGCCAGGGCTTCGAACCCAGGACCTCATGATCAGCAGTCGCACTACTACAACCACTACACCAACGAGGCAGTCGGTCTACATTAAACCCATTAAGAAGAACGTAGCCACGTATTCACCGGGTGAGAGAATCCATAAATGGCGCTATAACCAACTCTTTTACGCCAGACGTAATACACCTAAACTGGTGACGGACAGCAGCGTCAAAGGTGCTCACGTCTGGTGCTGCGATCGTCACCGGACCCACCAGGCGTTACAAGTAAAGCAAATTCTAATAACGGTGGCGCATGTCCATTGGTGCACGTTTAATGGCTGATAAAGAACAAGAAGGCGACTGTATAGAATAGTTTATCGTTGGGTCAGTTGCATACACAGTTTCACGGGGTGCCCGTGCAAGTAAAATTGAAAAATGTTTCGTATGGTGAGTGTAAAGAACCGGAGACCCTTTTTATTGGAAACTAGGCATTCAATCTTAGTTCTCAGGGTTAACAACGCATCTGCATTTTGATTCTTTATCGAGGATAAATGTAGATGTCTATGGGCCACAGCATCCTCTTACCATCAGATGGGATGTGTGCACATTTGTCACCCTATACTGTAAAAAAAATGATGGAATGGGCCGCAATTTTTATGGATACAAGAATCTACAAGGCCCTCTTCTAAACTTAGTAAATATTCAATTTCAATTCATTCATTATAGCCCGACAAAAGTACACTGCTAAACGTAACCCTATTTTTCTATATAGTAATCACGTATGCCAGACGGGTTGGAAATCCCAGTATTTTTATAGCAGTATTATAAAAAAATGCTGCTCCCATCTCCTATTTCATTAAGAGATGGGTATACCGCCATCTATGGATTCTCTCACCCCGTGAATAGGCGGCTACTTCTTCTTAATGGGATTGATTTGGACCTCTCGCTTCCGATAGATGGCGGTATAACCATCTCGGTTGCTGGTTCATTCTTAAAGGGTAAGGTCCTTAAAAACATACAAAAGGTAAAGCGACCTATACACGATCCACTTCTAGACTGAGATCTTTCACTTTTGGTGAAATTTTTGAGAAGTGGAGAAGAGAGAAGAGTTTGCTACACCACCGCAGTGCGTGTTAGTAGACTTTTTTTTTATAGAATAGGCTGACAAACGAGCACACAGTCCACCTGATGGTAAGTGGTTGCTGCGGCCCATAGACATCTACATCTATGGGCCGCAACCATTACAAATCAAAATGTAGATGCGTTGTCACCCGTGACGACTGAGATGGATGCCTCATTTTCAGTAAAAAGGGTCTCCGGTTCTCTACACTCACCATACGAAATACAGCGGCATTAAGCTACTATTTCACGCTGGTATTCTGTGAGAGCGTGGTCCTTCCCCGGTCGAGCCGACCCATTCGTGCTACAACTATACTACTAATATAACTGCAGCATGGCTCTACCACGTAGAAAACTTTATACGACCTCGAAATATTCTTCTTTATTTCTCAAATATGCCACCTGCATATCTTAACTAGGGACTCCTTCGTCGTCAAGCCGGCGATAAATCAGTGACACACTGATTTTCAGTGATTCAGTGTTTCAGTATCCCTCTGCCGATGATATTACGGGATAATGGATTAGTTGCGCCATAACACACTAAGGCATTAGTGATATACCTGAACTAAATATTTATTAAGGTTACTATTTTCCTTTGTCTTTTCAAAAAAAAATGCACAAAGAAAACATTTCAAAACAATTGCATGTTTCACCAGACGAGTTCCATCGCGCGGTTAAGATCTGTACGGGTATCGCGCAATCGGAACACCTTGTTAGCACAGTTTTCGCGATTTTCGACGCGGACGGCGACGGTCTTCTCAGCTACAAAGAGTTTATCGCCATCATGAAGGACCGGCTGCATCGAGGATTCAAGGTAATGGGACTTGCAATTTTCTAGGTCTAAATGTAGGATGTACACTCTCGTAAATATAGTATAAGCTCTTCGCAAGTCTACTGCAGAACATAAGTCCCCAAATCGATTAATATAATTTGTATGCGACCACCCCTAATGTATAACGCCTCGATTCGATTAATCGATTTGGGGAGCCGATTGCCATAGTTGCTTAAGATAGTCAAAATATTGTCATCATATTTTGCCACCATTAGTGGAATTTTTTCTCCAAGTCTGTATGGGATCACCTCTGAAGTATAATTTAATAAATGAGAATCATCAAATTAGGTTCTCAATTAGCAGAGACATCGCGTAACAAACAAACAAGCAAAAAGTCGAATTGTAAACAACTGTAAAACAGGAGTGTTTTCTTTGAAATCTGCTATAATTTCATATTCTGAAATTATTTTCAATACGATATTCGGTTCATTCGTCGATACGATATTGTAAATTTAACATCCATCTATTCATTGCAGCCTATAAGTCCACGGCTGAACATCGGCTTCCCCCATAGCCTCATGGGGGGGATTTTGCCATAATTGCCATTTCCTGGTTTGTTTCTCTCCGACGCCTCTTCGACACCCACGGGACGTTATAGGGTAGTAAGATATTCTTACACCGCCACTACACGGTATTTCTTTATATAATTCAATTGAAAATTAAATTAATATTGTAAAATTTCAACAGAATCGACATTACGTTATATTTTATCCAACTGATATCCGCTCACTTCGCTGGGCGCACGATAATAGACGATAATAACGTAGATATATATTAAAATATCAAGATTCTTTTATAGAACTGTCTTAAAATCCGATCTCAGTGAGCGTCTACATTGTGAACTGAATAACTATATTAAATTTCAATTCAATCGGGTGTATAGTTTTAGATATATCGTGATGAGTCAGTCAGTAGTATTTCGCATATATATATTGGTGATTTTTTTTACTTTCTGAAAAAAATAGGGTGTAACATGTGAATAAAATGGAAGCCTATGGCACTGATATTTTACATTTTTTTATTTACATTAATATATTATACAATTGATCTATGGAATAAATACTGTTGCGCGCTATAGTTAGCGCCCGGTGTATGGCGAGTGATTATTAGCGCCATCTAGTATCGAATAGAAGAACTAAGCTTTCTAGAAAACTCCACACTCGAATTTTCCACATCTAGTCGGTGGGGTGTTAAGTGTGATTAATTATTAGTGTGATTTAAGTTTTAATTGGTGTTCAGTAATTTAAGTGTCAATTTTGGAAATTCAATCGGTTTTTATTGTCACAAACCCTAAGCTCGTAACAATACTAATAATGGGTGCATATTATTTTAATTCTGATAGTTTTTTTATTGATTTATTTATTTGGTTCCAAATTTTTGTTTTTATTTTTTAGTAACGAAAGTTTATTTCAAATTATTAGTATGTTTTGATAAATAAATTTCATAATATGTGTATAGTACATATATATATATATATATATATATATATATATATATAATATCAGTGCTTCTATCCCGTTCACCTGTAGCGTGCACCCTATTTTTTTCCAGACGGTAAAAAAATCACCCAGTATATAAAGATTATATTCAACTGTTTTTCAGTCGTACGCGAAAAACGAAGGCTGGGAGGCGTTCAAGACTTGTGTCAAGCAGGAAATGAAGAGCACTGTTTAGATAATTAACTAAATGTCAGTGAACGTGCCAAAGCCATGCCGTATTTATTTATTTATGTGAAACCGGTTGCGAAACGATAACTACGTGGGCAAGAATCTCAGTTATATCGAAATAGATTCACAATATTTGGTTTGTACAAAATAATTTGAAAGATTTCTAATTCTTATACTAGCTAGTGTTGTTGTATCCTATAATATTGTACGAAATTGTTCAATGGTTATAAGACTAGCCTAAGCGGGGGCAATTTAAAAATAGAATCTACTACTATTTATAAGCAATACATGATCGCGTGATCATCCAACTCAAATGTTTGTCCAAACTTGGGCAACTATTTCAACTATTAATTGTGCCTACTTACAGATGGTGCTTAAAAAACCCAAGTGAAAACGAAGATTGGGGACGATAATTTTGTACATAATCTGAGTAAAGAGCTGGTCGTTGCGACTTTGCAAAAAACTTAGCTTTAGCTGATCGAAGGATCTGATCGATAAAACATTGTTCAATCATCGATCGACAATTAATCGGTGTGTGGCATGTTCTCGAATAATAAAGCAGCTCGATCGAAGCCGATTAATCAATTCTACCATCGATCGACGATCGTTCGATCGATTGGTGTGGTAGCACCCTTATAAACAACTTAGGAGGATTGAACGATACGAGTAGAGACAGTATTAGTTTCAAAATACCAAAAATAATAGATATTTTTATTGTTATTTGGGGTTTAAATTTTTACTAAAAACTAAAAAAGAACATATGTATTAAAACCACAGATTTCCCCCGTTAAAACATAACTGTATATGCACAAGATGCATTACTGGATGCAACGAGGCATTTCATCTTAGTCCTCAGGGCTGACAACGCAAATTAATGCATTTTGATTGATAATGAAGGATAAATGTAGATGCATAGACATCTTAACAGTTACATCATCCACTTACCATCAAGTGGACAGCATGCTTGTTTGTCAACCTTAATATATATATATATACACACACACACACACACATATATATATATATATATATATATATATATATATATATATAAAATATACTTTGTGACTTTAAGTAATAAAGAGATGAAGATCTGAAATCACTAACAATAGGGATAACCAGTGCTTAGATCAACAAGAATGATGATCTCCTAATTATGGGATAATTTAAGTTTTAAATGATTTAAGTCCAATCGTTTCGTTACCCAATTTTTACGTAAGCGAAAAATAACTACAATTAAAACTAGTCTTTTTCAAAGGTTGTCTAACAAAGTGAGATTTTTTCATGAAATTATTAAATAGTATTTAGTAAAAAGTGATAACAATAATTTAATATTTTCACTAACAATTTTGTTATACTTAGTTTAAATTTGATTTCCTTCTGTTTTTACTAAAAAACGTTTATTGTTACCATACCAATCAGCTTTTATATAAAATAAAACGTTTGATCAAAGAATGTTTAAATACGGACAGTTAGAATTTGATTAATTATTTGTTTGTATTAAATTGAAAACTGGATTAGTTCATCAAAATAATTACTTTTTTTCAAATCGTTTTGCTACTAAAACACTAATGTTGCTTATGTTTGTTTATAGTTTATATGTTTCACTTTAATATTCAGTCAAGTTATTTAATAGATAACTTTTATCTGACTATTGAAAATCAGATTTTAAAATATTATTATTGAATATTTCCTACATTGTATTAGCGCGTTATCCCGCATTAGTCAAAGTTTTCTAATAGACATAAAATTTACAAAAATGTATAATAAGCTATAACACATTGTAATTTGTAAACCTTTTAGTACTAAAAGGTAAATACTTCAAATGCCTCAATTCAGTACCTAATAAATAAATAAAATGCTAGTCATTCGCACATAAATTTACAAACATATATTGTTTTGTTATATTGTAAGTTTTCGATTACTGGTGATTAACTTAATATAGAAATTAAATTATGTTGCTTGTGACAACAGTCATCGCTTTAACTTTGTTCCTATTAAACGGTCACTTCATATTTTAATAAACAGTATTTCTAAGTATATTATATTGTATTAAATAGGGCAAATTGTAAAAAGCTATGTCAAAATATACCGCTACAACTCAATAGATGGCGCTCAACAGAAAAATTGTGTTGTCCCAGAATTTGGTTCAATGTAAGAATTTAAAGAAATTCATTAATAAAATTAAAACTATGTAGACTGAAAATATAACCAAAATTTGATTGATAACAAAAAAAAAGTTGTTAATGCACAAAATTGTAAACATATTTAATTTTTTTTTTAATCTAAATTGTATCTTTTACGTTTTGCTTCTTGAAAGTGTACAGTGCACGACTGTTGTTTGTGCTTTGTCTCTCGGTTAATAAAAAAATAATATTGATGAAAATGTGTTTTTATTTGTGTCCCATGCTATTCCATGTCGTAGATGATGGTGGTATGAAGTAAATGAAAATATATATATTTTTTAAATATTTTATTGAGAAAACCTTTTTACATAAAAATATCTTCAACGATTTTTCATACCAAGCTTACATACACGCAAATCAATTCCGTAATAAATAAATTTACTAATACAAATTAATGCAAAGTTGCTTACAAATAGAAACTGTTTTCGGATCTGACTAAAGTACATTTTAAAATGAATTATAACGCCAGATTAGGGTTACCAACTTTTATTGAAAATATAATCTTACAATAATAAATAGCATTCAGGAAATTAAACTGTACACTATCCCTTACATTCTAAATTTAAATAACTGACGTTGAGGTAATCAACGCAGATTTGTATAATTTGCAAAATGATATATTAGAGTTTTAACATATTTAGATAAAAACCGTATAGCTGGCAAACCCTAAAGCCCGACTGAAATATTATTTTAATATTAATTTTCAATTTATGACGTTTATAACTTATCAGTAATAGACTAAACATTTTTATTGAAAAAAAGTTCTAATAGCTCTTAAATATAAAAAAAAATCTTTAAATACCTTAGTTACACTGTTTAAATACCCAATATTTCACTAGGCGTTTAAACCTTTCCAAGGATCAACTATTATATACATTTAATTACTATTTATTTTTTTCGAGTAAATAACTTCGAGAATAGGTATATCGGACAAAATAGAATATTTTTAAGAACTTCACTAATTGATATTTATTATAATAACTAACGAGTCCAATAGAGGCTACGTAAGAGAATCAACCACATATAACACAATATTTCATCCCATAGGATTTTTAAATTTGAATTTTATATTTAATATTATATATAAAAACTTAAATTTATATAAAATATTAAATGTAAGTTGGGCTATGGCTATTCTGCATCTGATTTCCTCGTTTCATATTATATCAGAGAAATTCCGAGTGTAGCCCTTTTATATTACAAAACATCCTCAAGGTTTCTAATTAGTCGAAGATGGCAAAACGTTGTGTCCTAGCTAAGTTAACATTATAATTGGAAAATCTTACTGAGAAAAAAAATATTCCGAACTTAAACATGGCAACTGCCGATTACATGAAACAGATTTTTTGAATCTTCTGATCTATATATCGTACAGTGAACAAAAAATGGTTGTGATTTTATAAGGAATCATCCAAAACACAAAATATTACGATCGTTATTACCATAAGAAAAAAAAACTTTACAGTATTTTTTTATATAGAGGAGTGGAAAAACGAGCATGCGGCTCACCTGGTGGAATGTGCAAACAGCTGCAACACGAGGAGAATTGCAGGTGCGTTGCCGGCCTTTTAGAAAGGAGTAAGGAAAGGTATTCATTAAAAATGAAGTAGTTATTGATAGGGCTATCTATATCCATTAATATTCTACCAGAACCATGTCATGCGAAATTGTAAAACGCTTAACGCTTAATAGACACAGAAGGAATCCTTTTAAGTTTTAACCAGATCAATAGAATCTGTGCTTAAGGCTACGTTACCCTAAAGTGACCCTTTTTAAATCAATTTTACAAAATTAACTGACCTCTATCACGTGGTAGAGCCAAGCTGCAGCTATAGGTATGGTTGTAGCACGAATGTGTCGGCTCGACCAAGGAAAGACTACGCTCTCACAGAATACCAATGTGAAAACAGAGTACCAGCTTAAAATAGCGTAGAGAACCGGGGACCCCTTTTTACTGGAAACGAGGCATTCTATCTCAGTCCTCAGGGCTGACAAAGCATATTTTAAGTCTTAATCGAGGATAAATGTAGATGTTTATGGGCTACGGTATCCACTTACCATTAGATGGACTATGCGCTCGTTTGACACCCTTGTTGTATAAAAAAAGGAACCGCAGAACTGTTTGTCTTTTTTCAGTAGAAATTGTGGAGACCTAATGATTGATTCTCATACGTGAAAATTCGGATGGCATGTCATATATATTATTCATTTATATCAATTTCTTTATTATTATTAAAGGTATTATCATTTCGATAAACTGAAACGCGAATATGCAAATCTACACAGCGATTAAATTAAAGCAAAAACAAATAAAAATATTACAAGCTTCCTTAAAAATGTTATTTAATGAGGTATTTATTGACAACTCAACAAAAAAAAATATGAAAACATAAAGAGAACAACCTTGTTAACATAAGTATTTACAAAAGCTTTAAGCAAGTTGGTATTGAAAAGCACTAACAATACAGGTAACCGGTATTTAGTGGATTTAATACTAGACCTAAAACCGAAAGCACAACCTAATTAGAACCGTTATGCACCAGTAATGATGATGATAGTAGTAATGATGGCGTTCCCTAGGTAGAATATAACGATTACCTAAAACGTAGAAATAATATAATGTAAAAATATATAAATTCTGCCAGTTGATTATTTTATTTATAATATATCCATTGTTTTTTTGTCTAACCAAAAAAGGGATAATAACTTTCTTATATCGTCGATCTTAAAAAGGTTGACCACCTCTAACATTACAGACAGGGTTTCTCCCCTGTTGTAATCTTTCCCTCGTTTTACTACTTTGCATTAGTATACTTTAATTTGTTTTTCATTGTTTAATTACCACGGACGAGCCAAAGCTAATATTAAAGAAGACAACTATGTTAGGTACATAAACCTACATTAGGATCCAGGGACCTAACATTTATTAGTTAAAATTTATTAGTGAAAAAAAGCATTATATTTTAAAATATTTAATATTTATAATTTTAATTAGTTTTTAAGATACAGATTTAAATAGATATAGACGTAATATCTTAATGTGAGTAGGTGTTATATAATATTATAATAGATATTTCACTTTCGACTCAAAACGAAGGCAATCATGATATTATAGTTTACTGTCTGGACCACAACTTTTCGTGTTTACGAACCAATCATTTCGCTGTCAAAATAGTCAACAAAAACTAAAAATTTCTGTTTAAAACTCATTTTTGTAAGTATTAATCTCAATACCTACAGCTTTATGAAAAATGCTATAATATACTAATAGAATATTAAGGTAACTTTTAAATATGAAACGAAAAATATGCATATCTAATCATTGTTAAAATTCACTCTATTTAATCAAAAACCATCAGAGAAATCGCTTAACTTATACCGGAGATATTGTGTGTTATTGTTACATACTTCTGAAAAACGAATTTATATCCTCTTTATTAAATTCGGTTGAAATATAACTTGAAGCCCACAGATATTTTTGCCAAAACAGTCTAATTCGTTAAAAAACTAACAACCAAAACCCAACAGTAAAGTTATTAAACTATCTACTAATTCAAATCTAATTGCAAATGTAATCAGCCTTTAAAAAAAACATTTCATTGCATATCTATGCCAAAATACTCAATCGATATTCAATTTTAACACTTTCACTGTTCGATTTTTAGACACAATATTAAGACAATAGAACTGACTTAAATGTGGGTCACGGGACAGGGAAAGGGTTAAGATGTCGTTAAGTCTCGTGCTCTCTCTATCACTTTAAGACGACACATCGAAAACGCTATCGCCGTACTGATCCGAGTGAATACATAATTTCTATAAAAACTTGAAGAAACGCCGTCAATAAGGTCTAAAATTGCGTAGCGCCCGCGGCGATTAAAAGCGCTTAGAAATTGTCAGAATCTTAAAATATTTTTTTAAAAATTATTGATTTAAGTTATCAAAATAATGAGCAAGTAAATTATGAATATTGATGTTATGAATATATTTGAGTGATTCCCAAGCATATAGATCAAATGATTTCGTTGTAATTTCAACTATAGTGATTTTTTAGAGGTGTTTTCGCAAATAATTATGATCGAGTCAAAATTATACAATCGAGTTTTTGAGCAATCAAATTCAAGATAGACATGAATTTACCTATATCAAAATCTCACTTTCATTAGTGGTGTCATAGTCCTATACTATTCGATGAAAGGAGGTGCATTTTTTCACGGTGTCGCCTTAAGTCAAAGTGACTGGAACACCACGAGACTAAACATCTTCAAATTGAGTAGCGTTTAAGAATTTATCCACCAATATCTTAGAGATAGATCTACAATCGTTTAGAAATTAAAATTAAAATGTTTTTAGAACTTACAAGCTTATAACTATGCTAATTCTAAGAAAACATTACTTTATATTACAAAGCGTATTTCAACAATTATTAAAAATTGGACCTAAAAGTCTATAAAGTAATCTAGTTATATAGAACTGAAAACGTTAGAATTACATTTTTTTATATAAAAAATAAATTGTGTTTACTATTCCAAGAACTACAAAATACTTTTTACTACAACTGTTCCAATAGTTTCTTCAAATATTTATTCAGACCAGTTCTAGACAGGCAGGGAAAGAGTTTACAATACAGCGATTGTAACTTATGTATAACCTTTCAAAAAGTCAAGAGATCGTCCAAACCTCTACTTAATCAGGAGTGTATCCTTTTATATATATTATATATAAAAGGGTACGCCCTTGATTAATATATATATATATTACGCCTATAAGGAAACACTAGTCTAGATGCTAGTGGTATGCTATGAACTATTGTAGTTCCATTCCAAAGCCTCGTACCGAAATTACTAAACCAGTCTAGTTTCAAATACTGTAATTTATTTATGCTAAAGATAAACCTGGCATTTATAGAGAGCATGTTATACACTATTTCCAAGAGCTTCATGTACATTCACTTAAGTTATGGAGTCAAAACTTGTACCAATATAAAATTATATTTGTTATTAAAATTCCAAAAGATTTGTTCCAAAACAGCAATTGATCGATTAACTGCTATTATAGACCATACATTCCTAATGTTGTTTAATAAATAAGGTGGGGAACTCATATACAGGATTATTTTTCAAATACTAGCCAAATTTAATGATTAAGTTCAAAATATAAATACTGATATACACTTTTTGCAGTTTTTAAAAAATACGCGTAAATAAGGTTTTTACATTTATTTGAAAATATGCGAAATTGAATGTGATTAGTGGGCAAAATCGCCAGCGCGCTCGTGAATTCACAGAGCTTTTGCCTACTATTTTCTTCCTTAATGACATGACCGATATGACTTCTATTAAATCAATCGGCAGTAATATGAAATTTTGAGGGTCACTTGTAACTGCTTCTGAATTCAACACTCCTATTTATATTTTATTTAATTGGCTTTACAGCTCTGGGTTCTAGCCCTTCTGAGCCTATCATTTGTTTTTGAATCTACATTTTTATATATTTTTTCTTCACAATATGCTGATGCGTCACATTGCGAAGTTTTTGACAACAAAACCCATCGGACAGTTGATGACGACAGCCACTCAATTTCATTAGGCGCCCAAGCGATTAAAATAACTTGAGGTGTATATCAACATCAAAGCACTTGTTTCGTTATCTTCTCTAATAGTTCACAGGCGCAGACACTTAATTCACAAAATCGCATCATCAAACCATTATTCAAGCGACAAAACAGGAGCGACAATCCGTCGACGGCCAAGTTCTCGCCAAAACTCGATTCAACACTCCTTTAACATAGTCTGCGTGTATTATAAAATACCGTTAAAATACATTTCCACACATTTTGAATATAAAATATAAAAAGGATAATATTGTTTGAATTTCTTTTTCTTATTTTATATTACATATTCTGAGCCTCCTCTGCAAATTTGGCCGTATATTGCAAAATAACCCTGTATTTCTTCCGTGACAAAATCAGTATAGTTATCTCTCAAACGTTTTTAAATCTCTTTAATTTAGTAGACATTATTTGATAAAAATATTATTGAATAAGATTGAAATTTAATTGTACAATTCCAATTATTTTTTATTTTTTTGAAGTTAAATAATTATAGGTATTTCCTATATATCAACTCTCAACTTTTTATTTAAATCATATTTATATCAGTTATTGGCAATGTTTACATTGATAAAGTGTCAATTGCATATACATATACTAATCAAATATAGATTTACTAAACATGTTCCAAAAGCCAGAAAATTCTTAGCGAGATGTTGCACTAATTTATTTAAACGCTATTGAAATCTCAATGGGCAGAGATGATCAGCTGGTGCAAGTTATTTAGTATTCCGCCTAGATACTAGTATAAATACTGATCTGAATCATAAATAAAACCTTAAACTCTATGAATGCCTTAAGATGAAATTTTCAGATGTAAAAATAATTTTATTATGATAAATGCTAGCCTTTAAAATAATAACAGATGTTTCATAGGTTTTGTTTACAGCATAATGAAATATAGATACTCCCATATACATATACAAGATTTATGAGTAATTAGTATAATATTGATTTTGATCATGCAAGGTGAAAACACGTTGAAGATAACAAAATTAAAGAACACTAAAGTCCCAAATTTTTAACTTAAAGCTATAGACGCTGGTTAAACCATAAGCACATACTTGTGGAAGTGCCTGATAGTAGACCATAGTAACAAAGAGGTGAAAGATGATATTATCCTCGAAATATTACACTGGTTCCAACCTGTTGTGAGTTCAGCATCCGGGAGCCGATACGAGATTCATATGCTCGCCGTTTTCAGTGGCCGAGGTGAGCCTGTGCCGGAGAGCAAATGAAGCAACCACTCGAGCAACCTGTTATATAATACCAAAATTATATTTTCAACAATGTAACTTAAAATATTGTATGATACATGTTTTTGGCGGCTTTGTAGCATGTGTGGTTAACTCGGGTGGAGACTCGGGTTCAAATTCCGTACGGAAATTGGATGTGTACCCTTCAATTTATGCCTCCACAATATACCTGGAAACTACTGTGGAGATCAAATATATTTAAAAAAGAGAAAGAGATATGGTATTACCTAAATATTATTAAAAATACTATCAATATTATTTTAAAAATATTATTTTGATAAAATTATTTTAAAAAAAATTTATATTTTTTGTAGAATAAGGGTGACAAGCGAGCACACAGTCTACATGATAGTAAGAGGATGCTGTGGCTCATAGACATCTAAATCTATCCTAAATTAAGAATCAACATGCAGATGTGTTATCGCCCCTGAGAACCATAATGGAATGCCCCGTTTGCAGTAAAAAGGGTCAAAAGGTCAGTCACAAGAACAGTAAAAATATTTCTCAGAGAAGACTAGGTTACAAAACACTCATGGATAGAGAGCAAGCAGTTAGAAGTAATTACAAAATAATACTGAATATTTAAACAAAGTTCCTTTTCATTTTAATTGCACTAATATTTCAACTTTTCTGTTTCAAAACTAATGCGGGTACTACAATCTATAAAGCAATATACAAAAGTTTTATATATATTAGTCACCAAAAAAAATCGGCCCACCTATGTTTTTACTGCAAATGATTTTTTACAAGTCATTTCGATTTAAAAATCAAAGTCCTTAATTTTGAACGATTTTTTAAATTACTTTTAAATACGCTCTAATTTTTATGTCTTAAGTGTTATGTACACAATTGTTGCAATTTAATATTTCTCTCAACTTGCTCGAATGACGGCATGCAATGCGTTTAATGACCTTATCAAGATTTTGATGGTCTCTTGAAGGATTCGATTCCATTATTCCCTAATGGTTAAAATTAAATCTAAGCTGTTCTGCAGTGCGGCGAGTTTACCAAAGGTTTCTGGAGACTAGGCAGTATCGAAGATCTGGATCTGGAAGACATAGGGTGACAACTTAAAGGGATGAGCGGTTTATATTGGTATCATATAGTCGTTTTATATAGGCATTGGCCGTTTGTTTGGACATTGCGAAGGCCTTCGATCGGGTTTGGCACAAAGCGCTTCTTTCGAAGCGCCCTTCCTATGGGCTTCCCGAGAAATTGTGCGATTGGATCACCAGCTTTCTTGCAGGTCGAAGCATCAAGGTTGTAGATGGTGCAAGCTCCGATTACAAGCCTACTAATGCTGGTGTTGCACAAGGCTGCGTGCTATCGCCGGAACGCTGTTTCTTCTGCATATCAATGATATGTTGCAAACCCGTAACATTCATTGCTACGCAGATGACAGCACTGGAGATGCTCTGTACACTGGCCGTGCCAGTATTTCTCGGGAAAACGTCGAGTACCGGAGTGTCTGAAGTCGAGTCTTTGCTGAATAAAGTCTCGGATTGGGGGCGACTAAATTTAGTCCAGTTTAACCCTCAGAAGACACAAGTCAGTACCGGAATCCTCGGCGTCGACATATCGAGTGACGTGCAGTTTCATGGTCACTTGGAAGAGAAGGCAAAGTTGGCCTCTAAAAACGTGCTCAGCAGAGCGGGACAGTATTTCACGCCGGCACACCGCCTGCAACTACAACAAAAACAATAACAAGGCGCAAGTTTGGCCGCACATGGAATACTGTTCCCATCTCTGGGCTGGGGCTCCCCAGTGCCAGCTCCTTCCATTTGACCGCATCCAGCGCAAAGCGACTCGAATCGTCGACGACCGAGTGCTTTCCGATCGGCTCGATTCACTGGCGCTACGAAGAGATGTTGCATCTCTTTGCATTTTCTTTCGCATATACCATGGAGAGTGCTCTGACAAATTGTTCGGATTAATCCCAGCCGCCAAATTTCGTGAACGCACTACGCGGCAAACGTCCCTATACCATCCACACCATCTGGATGCTTGGCGGTCCACCACTGTAGGTTTCAGAAGCAGTTTTCTTCCGCGTACGACCTCTCTGTGGAATAGTTTACCACCGGCGATTTTTCCGGATCGATACGACCTGGGGACCTTCAAGAAAAGACCTTACTCGTTTCTAAAGGGCTGGCAAGGCACCTGCAATTCCCGTGGTGTTGTGATTGATCATGGGCGGTGGTAGTCACTTAACATTAGGTGAGCCGCATGCTCGTTTGCCCCCTCTTCTATAAAAAAAGCTCTATGAAATCGACACCTATCTGGTGTTGATCTCCTGCAACGTTTAGGTGAAGATTGAGGTGTGGGCTATAAGTGCCAGTACTGTAAGAAGAAGACTTCGAAGATCAGACAGAATATAAGACCTCACAAGCCAGCAACAGTACTATAATTGACCACAGTTAATCCACAAGCCAGACTTCAATTTTTTTGATGACTAGTGTATATTGAAAAAATATAAAACAGTCATACCTCCCCTGGAGTGTCTTCATGCACAGCGTGACCACATCTTGTTAAAACTTGCATTTGGAACTTGCCTATAATTAATTGTAAATATGTATTAATAACAGTTTCATCATCATGGGAGCCGTGGTAGCTCAGATAGTTAGCGCTCGCTGTAAATTTCACAGTACGCGAGCAAACCGGGTTCGATCCCCGCCGGCACCAATGAAATTGTTAATTGCAATTTTAAGTGCTGATTTACCACGTATTCAGCTGTGAAGGAAAACATCGTGAGGAAACCTGCATGTCAGAGAATTAAGAAAAAAAAAATATTTCCAAGACATGTGAAGTTCGCCAACACGCATTGGGGCAGCGCGGCGGCAATTCCTTGCCCCAAAACCCTCTCAGAAATAAGCGGAGGCCTGTGCCCAGCTGTGGGACGTATATGGGCCGTAACTTTACTTTTTAACAGTATCATTACTTAACTGGTTCTCTACACTCACTATATATATAAAACATCAGCAGGATTGTTATTTTACTCTAGTATTATGTGAGTCATCACCTGATTAATAGACACTTAAATCTATGATTGATTAAGTATAAAATGTCTGGACAATACCCTTGAGGCCTATGCATAATTAATACCAGCATAAAGTATTCCAGGGTAAGATGTAAGTAGTTACGTTGTACCAGTTCTGGCGCACTGAGTCAGAAGTGGTACAATAACGACGTTCGTCGACTCACGAGCCTTTAAAAAAAAAGGTTTTGCCATGTTCTGATCACGAATCTGCGGTCCATTTTTGCGTAGGATGCACAGTTCCGGAGATGTGCAGATCAATTAACTCTTATCTAATTGATATCCGGTGAAGGCCTCCACCGTCATTAGCGCTCCATTGTTCTTATCTACTTATCTATTGTTCGTTCAATACCATCATTATCTATTCTTCCTCAGCGTGGTGCTATTGTATTACACTCCTTTGTTCCTATCTACACTAATCTCACTCATCAATAAAACACATTACCCAATTTTGTTAAAATTTTTATTTATAAAAAACAAAATCTTATTACTACTATAATTATAAAATAGGAGCGAAACATCTCATCCACTAAAATATCGTTGTACAATGTTTTCCCTGTAAATATACTCGTTAACCTATACATTGAACATCCCTGAAACTTATATAGCAAATACATTAAGCAATATTCGCCACAAACTGAAGTCAACTCATTATGAATCCTATCAATATTCCAGTTCCATAGATTACAATTCCTTTTTAAAAACTCTAGATGATATCATACAGGTGCTCGTCTATATGAATCAAAATATTGACCGACGTCATTCGTATCGATATATAAAGCTACCCAATGTGACCCCGGTTTATCATCTGTACCCAAATTGCATATTACCTAGTCAGGTCATAAATTCTATCACATGTTTAATATAAAATAATTGAAACAAGTTTTTTCATTATGTAACCATTTATATACCAAAATGAACTTAACAAAACATAGATTCTTATGACACTATAGTTTATTCAAAATGACCTCCGTGATTTTGAATACAGGCCTTCAATCTGCGCGGCCAGTCGTCTATCGAAGCACGAACGAGGTCCATGTCAATATCGGCGGCTGCCTTAATCAAGGATGTCTTGAGTGACTCCAAATTGGGATGAGGCTTTGAGCACGCCTTTTCCTCCAAGTGTTGCCATATCTTGTAATCTAACGGATTCAAATCTGGACTGGAGGAGGGCCAGTCTTCGTGCCGGATGAAGTCGATTTCACGCGCCGCCAGCCAGTCTTGTGTGCTCTTCGCTCTATGAGCTGACGCCTAATCTTGTTGGAATACCCAGTGCCTGTTATTGAACATGGTATGAGAAACAGGTTACACAAGGTTCGTCAGGACTGTATTTTGATAAACAACTGCATTCGTTTTTACACCTTTCTCACAAAAATGTACCTCTGTTAAGCCCCAATAAGAAACTCCCAACCATACCATGAGCGAGGATGGAAAATGACCTCGTTGGACACGCGGAATACGGTTGCTCGCTTCTTCACTACTGTGTGCGTACACCTTATCATTTTGTTTGTTGTAGCTCTCTTCTAAAAAAATTTTCATCCGAAAAAAGAATTTCCCGATTTTTTTTCCCGCGTACCGCTTCAACAAAGTGCGGCATCTCTTCAGTCTCAGGACCATTAGACGAGCATTCAAACGATGTCCTGTTTTTCTTCGATATGCCCGAAGCCCTAAGTCTTCATTTAACACCCTTTTCACCGTGGTTCTGCTTAACCCCATCTGAAGGGCCAACAGTTTCTGCTTACGTTTGGGATTTCTTTAAATTCGCGTCTTCACAGCTTTTATCACTGCTGTTGTCCTAACAGACCGAGGGTGACCACTTCTTGACCTGTCATCTACACTAGAGTATTCATTGTATCGTTTGATGCTACGATAAACGAATCTTTTGGTTACATTCAAATTTTTCAGTATGTCAAAAATTTGAATTGGCGCGTAACCGCAACGATGCAACGCAATAACTGCAACATGGTCTTCTTTAAGCGTCCACTCCATATGTAAAAATGAGTAAAATTCTAAAAAGTATACAGTTTTATTTTCATGAACAATTCGAATTCAATAAACTTTTTTTGTGGCCAGCATTCTAAAAGAAAAGTTTTTACTGAGTGACAATACTTATGACCTGACTAGGTATATACGTTGGTACGTGGGTGTACATGGGCAGTCTTAGCAGCATAAACATTATTTTCTAGACTGGGGTGAATCTTTTTCAGATGTTGTTGTACATCTAGTGTATCCATGATATTACTGCTATTGATAGATTATTACAGTACAATCTACTCAATGACTAACATAGGAATGATCAATTATAGTGATTTCTAAATATTAAATTGCATTATTTTGTGTTATACAAAACGTATTTGAGTCATCAATACACTGAATAAGACGCGACACGACGTAATGTTGAGATAAGCAACAAAATGTGAGATAAGCTTGTTGACGCATAAAGTTATTATCAATAATTCCACTGTAGAAATTCTTTAGATTAGAACTTACTTTTCTTTCTGTTATTTTCTTACGTGTGTATGATTTAGTGTTAACAAATTATATTTAAATACTGTGTGTGTGTGATTAAGCCGTGGTAGCTCAGATGGTTAGCGCAAGCTGTAAATTTCACAGTACGCGACACGGGTTCGATCCCCGCCGGCACCAATTAAATTGTTAATTGCAATTTTAAGTGTTTATTCTATTGATAAACTTACTTTTCTTCTGTTATTTTCTTACGTGTGTATGGGTTAGTATTAACAAATTATATTTAAGTATTGTGTGTGTATATGATTAAGCCTTGGTAGCTCAGATGGTTAGCGCAAGCTGTAAATTTCACAGTACGCGACCCGGGTTCGATCCCCCGCCGGCACCAATTAAATTGTTATTTGCAATTTTAAGTGTTGATTTACCACGAGCTCGGCGGTGAATGAAAACATCGTGAGGAAACCTGCATGTCTGAGAAAATTTCGAAGGCATGTGAAGTTCGCCAACACGCATTGAGGCCGCGCCGCGGACATTTCCTAGCCATAAATACAAAGACAATAGCAGAAAGTGAAAAGTTAAAAAATACTTTTTTAACAATGACAGTCATTAGTTGATCATTAGTGAATGTGATTCTGTTTACTTAAATTACAGGAAGACAAGAGCAGAAGGAAGAAATGGGATGATGGGAAGTAATGAAGCATTGTTATGTGAAGTTTGTTGGAACAAACATATTTTTAGTCACGTGTAAATACTTTTAACATTTTGGTTTAAAATGACACAAAATCTAAAAAATATTAGATACATCATCGACATGGACGGATTTTACATAACATATCCTCATAAACATTTTCAATGTAGAGAAATGGCTATTCTAGATGTAAAACTATCTAATAAAAATGATGCGTTTATCGATCATTATTTGTTTCGGTCAAATTATCCTTTCAATTATTTGTCGCCAAAAGACAAAAAAACTGTTCGTTATTGTGAAACACACGTGCAAGGCATTCCATATTTTGATGTGACCGAAGAATTAAAATGTGCCTACAAACAAGAGAACATAATTCCCATATTAAATTGGTATATTAGAAATTTGTGCAAAGACGAAGTGTTTCAAGTTTTTTAAGGATCGTGAGTCGACGAACGTCGTACTTGTACCACTTCTGACTCAGTGCGCCAGAACTGGTACAACGTAACTACTGATGTATATAGAATATAACTTTAATTTTCTATATGCGTTTCATAATGTGCCTTTACTGTCGAAAGGCGATTGATTAAGAAAAATATGAATGATTTTGCACCTTGCATTTGTCCCACTGTCAGTTCTCTATCAAGTCCATCGACGGAAGCGAGCAGGAGTAGCCTCGGAGCTCTTGTATGTAGAAATGCGTTAGACAGGCCCCCGAACCAGCCAGCCCAGTGCTTCTCAGTACGAGATAGGTCTATGCGCCATTTGTACCTGGAAATATAAGATTAACCTCTCAAACGCCAAGCGTCCAAATTTAACTGCTTCGATATTCCATCAAAATTCAAGAGGTCAAATTTGACCACACTCACCCACCCACAGCACTTTAACCCATAAATACTTATGTTTAGAGACTACTTTTCTATGAAGAAGTTTGGCATTATAGAATCAATATGAAATTTTCTATCCTCTAGCGGAATAAAAAAAAACAGTTAGTCTTTGGATATTAATTTATATTCTACGGTTATTACGTACGCCATTTACATTTGGATGCTGTTGTGTTGATTTTTGGATGTTTCTAGTGTTTTATTAGTGTTTACTAGTGTTATATTATAAAATTGTTTCAAATGTTTTTGTGTGAATACAATTTATCTTTTTACGTAAATAATTTCGAGTAATATATAAAAATAATTTTGATTTTCACGCTGGCGACATCCGCTTGATATGTTTTTTTTTTTTAATCAAAATACAATAAAATCTTTTTTTAATGAAGTAAACCCTGACTTTTGTTTAGACCACAGGATAGAGAATTTTGTATAGATTTTATAATGCCAAACTTATTCATAGAAAAGTAGTCTCTAAATATAAGTTTTAATGGTTTTAGGTGCTGTGGGTGGGTGCGGTCTCATGCAACCGCACCCACCCACAGCGCTTAAAACAGCGGAATTTTATGCGGATTGAAGGGTTAAAATAAGTAATTAATTTGGAGGGAATCTAAAGATCCTTAGTTTATGATAGATTTGAAATTCAAATCAAAATATGTATTGTATGTAAGTGTCTGATAAATTAATTTCTACCTATCTTACCACTTACCCCCTTTTCAAGTATTACAATATATGTTTGGTCACTAACCTATATATACATGATGATTAAGAATTATTAAATTAAGTTACTATTTTTTTATTTTAGGCATATACAACCTGAAAAACCCTGTGGTTCCCGTTAACTGCGTTATTAGAATCAGTATTCAAGCGCATAGTAATTTTTTTTTTTCAGAAAACTCGACCATATTTTTTTAAATATAATTTTAAAATTGTATGTGGTTTTATTTCCTCAAACTCACAAGAGTATCGGTAATGCGGGGTATTTGACAATCCTCTTACTCTTCGGCCAATGTAGAGATAATAAAACCACATACAATTTTAAAATACTTGAAAAGGAATTATTTCTATACGCTTGAATACTGATTCTGATAACGCAGTTAACGGGAACCACAGGGTTTTTGTTACATGTTGTATGTATAAGTATAATTTTAATTTATTACATTATATTAAACATTATTATTTTTAAGAACATTAGTTTTTTTCGCGGACGGCCGCCGTCGCGAGTGGACGGACTCAATAAATACGTGATTAAAATTTGATATTACCTAATAACTAGCGGTAAAATTCATGTTAAAGTGTTAAACTCAATCTGATTAGACTGTCCTATTATTTTCTTAACGCGAAACAGTGAAACATTAAACTAAAAGTGAAGTGAATAAATCTCATTAAAAGAACAAATTGGTGAACTAAATCAAAACAACTACAGAGTGTGACTTTCAAAAACAAAAACAAAAATAAACGGTGAACTATATAAATATTAAACTAAACAAAACAAAAACCATAAGACGTATTATTTAGTACACTATAACAATATGACGCTATAATATCGTTTTAAAATAATAACGGACCAATAATGTTTGTAAAAACCTAATATTAACCTAATTACAGAAAAGTGTAGTAAAATTTAAATTAAAAAAACTCTTGACTAAGTTCTTAAAAGTGATTATTGTTTTATTACGAATAACAAAATCCGTTAGCGAAAAAAATTTTTATATTACATTCATAATTGAATCTACCTACTTGCAACTAAAGTTATCTGATAGAACTAGTAAGCGATCCATAATTTCGGTCGTAGAATCACAAGGCACCGTGGTGTGGAAACGTAACGCGCTACTTATCGTCAAGGGTTCGAAACTAAGCTCCTACATGACTTTTGCGATTTATTATAAATTTACAATTACAATCACTGATAATTCTACGGTCATACAAAATATATACTACATACTACAAACAATCAAGTTTGAATCCCGGCTAATCTGAAGACTTATTCAGATTGAAATAAACTGTTGAGACATTTGTTTAATAATTATAATAACAAAATATTGAATTTGAATAATACGTTATAAAAAGCAATTTCAAAATAATAAGTTACACTATGGATGAAAATGTAACAGTCAGAAACCGTAAACGAACAAAATCAATGAATGATTCTAATACTTCATTATTTGATTGCACTATGACAAGCCTCCCGGACGACACTCGGTCCCTAGATTATAAGGATATAATAGAACTGACTGAGACTATAAAAAAGCTAACCTGTGAATTACCTACAATCTGCGCACCAGGAAATAGATAATTAAACATGCGAAAATGTACAACTTAAATCAGACTTAGCAAAGGCAAACAAAACGATCGAATTATTCAAAAAAGTTACTATTGCGAGTCCAAGACTTACATCACGATTAGACCGTAAAAAGAAAAAGAAAGATTCTTTGAGTAGCCAAATGATCCAACATACAAACATACATTTAACAAATGATATGTTCTCAGACAAGGAAGAAACATGTAAACAGTTTGAAGAAAGAACAAAAAATTGCAGCGATATTGTCAGCAAACAAGAATCAATGAAAACTCGCCAATTATTAGAAAACAAAAACTCTGTATTTTAACTAATTGTAGTGTGAAAGGTAAATTACAGGATATTGAACCCGCATTTGCTGAACAATTTAACTACTGTCGCTATATCACACAAAACTGTGGAGTATTGGAAATGTTGGCAGGTATTAAAACAAAGCCGCGAAACTATACTATTAACGACTACTGTTTAGTCCTGATTGGAGAACATGACTTTACAAAAACTGTAAATTGTTCTGAGCTTGTCAAATCTATTCAGGAATGTTTACAAAGCATATCTCATACAAATATAATATTATGTGTTCCTACATATATATGCGGAGCCCCCATATTTAATTATAAAATAGAAATGTTTAATAGCTTATTATCCATGAATGTACAATACTATAAATATGCATATATTTTTGATTCGAATTATAATCTCTCGTATGACATGTTTTTTTACAAATCTGGTAAAATCAGCAGTTATGGATTACAGAATATATATAAAAATGTTATGCAACGAATACTAGTCGACATATCAATATTTCCATATAACATGGACACTACGTGTAGCATTGATGAAGCAAGTAATAATATACGTAAATGCACTGCAAAATCGCCAATTGCAATGAATTCTATGGGTGACGCTCGGCCTGATACACCGGAGTTAAACACATGTGATGACCATGTAATTGCAGAACAATCTAAAACATTTTTTCGTTAACTGTAAACATATAAATATAATACATCAAAACATTAATGGTGTTATAAGTAAGTCAGATCTTTTAACTTTAAATCTCAATTCTCTTTTGGAACAAGGTATCCTAGTTGATGTAGTATGTTTAACTGATCACAATATGTTGAAAGGTGACACCAAATTATTATTCATAGAAAACTATATACTTGCAGCCTCTTTTTTGTCGTAAAAAAAGTCATGGCGGTGCCTGTATTTTGATTCACAATCATCGTTGAGTTCAAAATATTAAATTCTATAGAAAAATATGGCGTTTCCGGTATAATTGAGTGGTGTGCCATAGAACTTACATTGCATGGTATAATAATAGTATGTATTTACAGACCACCTAGAAACAATACACAAAGTTTTGATCAGTTTTTTGCTATATTTAATGACATACTTGCTGCATTGTGCTTCGCAAGGAAAAAAATAGTTATATGTGGAGATTTCAATATAAACATTTTAAAAAAGAGCAAAGATTCTAAATCAAACAATTATTGGCTATAATCTTAAATTAGCCATTAATAAGCCAACTCGTAATGTAAGTGGATCTTGTTTAGATAACTTTATACACAATATTAGAGGAAGTAAATATAATATTTTTGAATTCGCTCTGTCTGATCACTCAAGCCAAATGTTAACTTGTAAAGTCAAAGAAACTTGTTCTCTCTCGCATTGGTTAATAAAATGTAGAAATTACAGTAAAGAAAATATGAAAAAATTCAAAGAATTCTTAAAGTCACTTACTTTTAACGAAATTTACGATACAACTGATCCAAATTATGCATTCGATTATTTTCATGAATTATGCATATTATTTTATAATTTATGTTTTCCATTTATATTAATAAAAAGAACACTTCGGAAAAAACCTTCCTGGATATCGAAAGGTATAAGAATATGTGCAAAACAACAAAGAAAATTACTTTGGCAATATAGAAAACATCCGACTAATCACAATAGAAATTTGTTCAATGTTACACAAAACGTTTAAACAAAATAATAAATTTAACACAAAGGGCACAGAATGACTATAAAATCAAAACAGCTTCAACAAATCTAAAGCTACTTGGTCAATCATCAATTATAGTAACAATAATGTGATTAAAGAGGAAATCAGGCATATTAATAATAATGGGATTATCATTGATGACCCCAAAGATATCGCAGAGTTATTTAACAATTATTTCATAAGTGGTTAACGCTCGCTGTAAATAAAACAGAACGCGAGTAACCCGGGTTCAAACCCCGCCGGCACCAATGAAATTGTTAATTGGAATTTTAAGTGCTGATTTACCACGTGCTCGGCGGTGAAGGAAAACATCGTGAGGAAACCTGCATGTCTGAGGAATAAGAAAAAAATATTTCGAAGACATGTGAAGTTCGCCAACACGCATTGGGGCAGCGCGGCGGACACTTCCTTGCCCTAAAACCCCCTCAGAAATGAGGGGAGGCCTGTGCCCAGCAGTGGGACGTATAGGACGCATAGGCTGTAACTTTACTTTTACTTTTACTCATAAGTGGAAATGACAGTAATCTAAGAACAATTAATGTTAACTGCAAATTACCGAATACTTATAACTCATTTTTATGAACCCAACGACTCCTTTCGAAATTAATAATATCATAATTAATTCATTAAAGAATACAAATAGCACCGGTTATGATGACGTTAGCACAATGGTATTAAAAAGTGTATCAACCATCATCTCACCAGTTTTATCCTACATCGTAAATTTAAGTATAGCCTCTGGAATATTCCCAAATAAATTAAAAAAACGGTAGTTCAACCTGTATTTAAGAAAAATGATAAGAGTGATGTTGCAAATTATAGACCCATAGCACTCATACCGATATTCTCTAAAATTTTTGAAAAGGTAATAAGTCAAAACCTTAATGATTTCTTCGAAAAATATAAAATCTTCACAGAGAAACAGGTCGGATTTCGGAAAAATAAAAGTATAAATTTAGCTGTCTTTCAATTTCTACGTACTGTAATGTCAAACCTTAATAATAATCACTTAGTATCTGCTCTATACATGGATTTAACTAAAGCTTTTAACTATATTAATCACAGTATCCTCTTAAGTAAATTAGAAGCGTACGGGATCCGAGGAAATATCCTTAATCTCCTAAAAACTTACCTAATAAATCGGAAACAATGTACACAAATTACGCGCATATGCTCAAAAACGTATAGACAAATAGTACATTCATCGTCATATCGTGAAGTGACTCAAGGAGTACCCCAGGGAAGTATTCTTGGTCCATTATTATTCCTTGTTTATATAAACGATTTACCAAATTATATAAATCAAGATATGGTATTATATGCAGACGATAGTACAGTGATGTTTACAAGCACAAGCAAAAATAAAATGATATCTGACATAAATCAAACACTAGACATTATAATTCAATGGTTGTCAAATAATAATTTATTAGTTAAACTAAATAAAACAAATTTAATGACATTCAGAAATATAAAATATAATTTAATTAATCTTAATATATGCTACAACGGACAAAAAATTAATGTAGTCGAAAATGCAAAATTTTTAGGCCTCAATCTCGATTCAAACTTAAAATGGAAATCTCAAGCAGAAGATATTTGTACTAAACTAAACCAGTTCTCTTATGCACTGCATAGACTTGGAACAATTGTGAATCAATCTGCGGTCATCACTGCGTACCACGGTTACGTAGAATCAGTGTTAAGGTATGGTGTCATTTTTGGGGTAACTCTGTAGACAATGATATGATATTTAGAGCCCAAAAGAGATGTGTAAGGGCTATTGTGAAGTTAAAACAGACGGATAGTTGTAAACCATTTTTTATTAGTCTGAAACTGTTAACACTTCCATGTCTTTATATATATATGAGGTAGCCGTCTTTGTTATTACGTATATTTCTTTATTTGAGTGCCAACACAATAAACGTAATAATCATAAAATATGTTTTCCATCAAACAAAACAGCCCAATTTAAAAACAGCATATTTTGTATGGCCCCTCGAATTTATAACCATTTACCATTACACATTTTGAGATGTTCCAACATAGGTAATTTTAAAATACCATTGAAACAATTTCTCGTTAATAGGGCATACAACAGTGTGAAAGAATATCTCGAAGATAAATATGAAATTCAATAATTGACTCATTATAACTAAATTGACTTGACTTATACGAGTATAACAGTATCTAAATTGACATATCGCTATTAATTTTGATTTTGAACTCCAATTATAACTAAAGCATGTTTAAATAATTTAATATAAAACCCAATAAAATGTAATGAATATTGCATTCCAAATGGCGGAATATAGTTGTACTAAGTGTTTGTTCTCTAAGTGATAAAGTATGACAATATCCTCTGTTTAAACCTATATTCGCAATAAACGACTTGAATTTGAATTTGAATTATAATGTAGAGTAGTTTAGTGCCAGTGTAAAAATATCCACTACCTCATAACATCCTGTGGGTGTTGTTTAAGGCGAAAGACAGAAACTGAAATGGGAGATGGGCAGCAGCGTATTCCTGTTAACAAGTCAAAATAATTAAAAAACTGCGTTTGCCAGCCCGCCAGATGTGCTCGGCGACTATGGCAAATATCCCAAATTAAGCATGGGCATCATCAGTTTTTAGTTGCAACGGTTACATAACCAATATCGAGTTTTCATATTGTTATTGAAATCGATCGATCGAGCTTATTCCGGGAACTTTAAAATGTCCCCTCGTAGGACAACGTTTGTTAACAATATTTACAAACAGCAATGTACACGAAATAGTCTTTTTTATCAAAGTGAGACCATATTTCACTAGTCTTAATCTACTTAAACTATACTATATTTTCACAGTACACATAATTTTCCGAATTAAAACTAATGTACAAAATTATTGCAGTATAAATGCAAGAATGCAAAGTCAAAAATAATAATTTTATAGACAATATCTTAGACAACGGCACGCGCCACCAAAGTCAAATACGTAATTGTTGCGTTTTGAAAAAAAAAATAAAAGTTGCCAAATAAAATATAGTCATACAAATCTAAGCCTTATGTCTAATGACCTAAAGATCATTTAAAATATTTCCTTTAGTCCTACAGTGTATAAAATTTTAATAGCGCCATCTACTTCATTCTATAGGTGAAGTCATTTTATCGAACGAAAATTGATTTATTCTCACGGTGGTACGTAAAGAATACGCTAGATGGCACAAACACGGCTATCGGCTAATTTAATATTGATCGCATGGAGTTACCTCTACACTCCATGATTAATCGGTAAGGTAAGAAATCGATCGAGGATTGTTTATTAACACTCACGCCTGTCACCCAGAGGGGTAGACAGAGACTACAGACTTCCATTTGGCACGATCCTGACACACCTCTCGCCTCTTTCACATCCATATACCTACGCATACATGCTCGTCGGTTAAGGGTACTCCTAATTTGGCCCGTTTTCAATAAATCGCCAATTTGGTCGATAAATTTTCGCCTATGACCCTTTCCGACTCTGCCATTCACTTCTGCAACATAAATTTTCTTTATCACTCTTTCCTGATTCATTCTTTCCACATGACCAAACTACCGAAGCATTCCTTTCTTAATCCTGGTCACATCATCTTGCAAACCACACTCTTCTCTTATCACACAATTTCTCACCCTGTCACTCAGATTCAGCCCTAACATACACCTTAACGACCGCATTTCTACTGCGTTCATTCTACTCTCGTGCTGCTTCTGCATGCTGCTTGCTTGGTGCTTCTGCTGCTGATATTAACCATCTTTACTTATAACATATTTATATTAAGATACAAATTCTATAAAACAATTTGAGTTATATTCAACTTTACTATTATATGTGATAGAGCCATGTTGCAGCTATATTCTGGTAGTAGCAGGAATAAGTCGGCTTGAATGGGGAAGGACCTGAAGGTAGAGAACCGGAGACCCTTTTTACTGGAAATGAGACATTAAATCCTGTCCTCTGGGAAATAAGTCCTAAGAAATCGAGGATAGTTGTAGATGTCTATGGGCTACATAAACCACTTACCACCAAGTAGATTGTATGCTCGCTTATCACACTTATTCTATAAAAATAAAAAATCTAAAAATACTCACTTCATTGCAGCACCATCCCCAACAGCGTTAGGACGAGCGAAATGCGCATCGTCAGTGATGCTGTCGTCGATTTTAGAGTTGTTTATATCATTTTCAGTAATGCGCTCATCATTTTTAGGGATGCCCTCATCTTTTTTAGTGTTGCTATCATCATTCTTAGGGATGCTCTCATCATTTTTAGGGATATTTGCGTCGTTTTCGGCGTTGCCGTCACCGTTTTTAGCGTTGTTCGTGTCGTTTTCAGTATTGCTCGCTACGTCTGCAGTATCGTTCTTAGATTGTACGTCGTTCTTCGTGTGAGCGTCGTTCTTGGAGTGTATGGCATCATTCTCGTCGGTCTTTGCGTGTTTAGCGTCGGTTGCGTCGGATTCGTCGTTATCTTCATCGTTGTCGTCGCTCTCCTCAGCGATGCGGTCTGCATGAGGCGCGTGTCTAGTGGCGACCGGTGTATGGACCATTCCATCGCTGCTGTACGACTCCACCTCGTTCGTAGCTAGGAGACCAGTCTGACAGCTAGTAATAAACGGTCAGAATTAACACACATATAGGTGATTTTTAAGGTACTGTGTATATAAGTGTGCACATAGATATAATAACATAGAAACATACATATTTAATATATAATTATAATGCACAGAGGCTAAAATACCACAAATGCAGTAAGGCGATTTAAAGTAAGCCATGAAATGGGTTATTCACCTATATTGAAACATTAATAGTTTTATAAGTATGATGAGACAAAAGGACAAAAAACAATTTCCCTTTATTAGTCTCCCAGAACGATACAACCGGAGAAAGCCAAGTGTCTACTGTTCGATGCAGGTCTAGTGAAAAGTTTTTGGGCAGAGGCGGCACACACTGCAGTATATTTACAGAACAGGACTGTATGTTTATCGGCGCGTTAAAGTCCACTGTGTAGCCATGTAGACAGTCTCTCCCGTTTTGGGGAGGATAACACACATATTTAATTAATTTCTCTACGTTCAGAGTAAATGCCAGCTTACAACATTGTTATATATTTATGTGTGTTAAACTATATATTCACACTTCTCATACGCACACAACTTTGTTATATTTATTGTTTGTGATATGTTGATAATTCTATGGTATATTGCATATCAGTAACAGGTGAAATAGAAAACACTACCCCCAAAGAGTCATTGTGTAAAAAAGAGACCAGTGTACCTTCTCTCGCCATTTGTTCTTCAGTTAGGGATTTCTCATTTTATTTTAAAATTAATAAACATTAAAAAAAGATGTTTCTTTTAGTAAATCAGAAGGAATGAGGATTCAGGTTTACTATTAATGTTAGTATAATGTTAGAAAGAAAGAAAGAAAGAACCATTTATTTGACAATCACACTTTACACACAATTTAAGAAACTTAATATTATATAATACAAGGGGCAAAAAACATGCCTGCGCAGGTGCAAGACTGCTTGCGCATTAAAAATAATTAATAAGTAGAACATGCATGATGTTAATTAATAATTAAACAATAAAAAACAATAAAAAAAACTAAAAAAACTAAAAAAAGAATTTAAAGATAAAATGTGACATCAAATAGGTCTCCAACTCAGCATAATGCTGCAGAGGCAGCGCTGGTTTCCAGTTGGAACCTTGTGACTTCACTGACGAGTCGATGTGTGTGAACCGCGAATTACGCGTAACTACAACTTGTAGACTAATAGTAATTAGCCAGTGGGCTAGAGTAGCGCTAACGAGCACAGTTAACGCACACATACTGTTAGATATCAATATAAATGGTGTGTTGTACATAACACTACACCTATACTTACACATAAAATATTTGGCTCTATGGGGAAGACAAAGCAAAGTAGCAATTAAATTTATGATTTTAGTACATATATAATTAATATTCTGTACTCAAAGAGACTCGCCATGTTACGAGACCTTCTAGATTTTTTTTTTAGAAAATAAAAGTAAGATAAAAAATAAATAAATAATAAATGATCATTCATCAAATATGAAACAGAAAGAAACACCTTAATAATCAATAATATATGAGCATGGTAAATAATAAAAAAAAGTATAAAACAATATAAATATTATTTACTATTTTGCGTTCTAAACATAATTGTATTACGTATTTTGAACTTGTTGTACTAAGTAATAGATAGAACTTTAGTTTGTTTTTAAAACTATTCAGTGATTTTGGGTAATGAATAGGTGGTGGTAGGTCATTCCAACAGTGGGTTGTTGCAAATTTGAAACTACCTCGAAACGCAGCTGTGCGGTATCGAGTTGTTACAAGGGAATGAACAGAAGCTCTTAAATTAAATCAACTTACTTCAAGATCTGACTGGGCATCGAAACTTTCGCAGAATCCACATTCCTCACTTGACCACTCCGTACACTGTTAACAATAAACAATACAATAAGTATCCAAGATTAATAAAAATATAATGTCCTTAAGACCAAATCCCCGTTACGGTGCTGCTACGTTACGTTAATATACGTATTCGGCCGAATATTCGGCTAAATCACGGAAAATTCTTTAAAGTGGTACTAAAAGTGTATTGAAATGTACGAATTGTGTAATGCCATGTCTTTCATAATTATACTGTTGAAATTATATTTTATTACTGGGTTAAATCTATTTAATGAAATAATATAACATAGATTTTCACTTTACTTTGGTCGTCAGTTTCTCTAAAATAAGTCCAAATCGATCTCCTGCCACTCATTAACATATAATTATCAATTTTCACTAATAATAACACAACGAAATACTTTTTTCCTCACAAAAATAGTCAAAACATAAGCATGTACCGGCAATTTGCTCAGTACTAAGTAGATTAATACTTTTAATTAAGCTACATTACTAGATGATGCAATAACATGTGAGTTGTGGCAGGGAGCGAGAGACAGGGTCCGGCCCTAATCCCGCGCGCTATACGGTAACAATTTTCGACATAAATTAGTTAGTTATAGGTCGCGCCACGAATGATGACATTACGATACGGCCGACGTATCTTGGCGAGTCCGACCTTCGCGCAGAAGGTTGCGCAATAGCTTTTTTTAAGGAACAAAATGGTGGCATGAGGCGACGTACGGGGGGCGGTGGTCTAGGCTAGAGATTGACCATAAGTAAACACAATCGACCCTTTAGTCATAAAATATCGCAATCGATTAGTTTTATTTAGAAGTTATTGATTTTTGTTTATATAAGATATTAAACGAAATAGATTTACAAATATAGTGAATTTTGTTGATAATAAACAAGATTTCGACTTAAATAAAAAAAAAACTAAAAACATATTATTTTCTCAGCTGAAAGACATAATGTACTTAAATATCAATTATCTATTAACGTCTTCTTGAGTAACGACTATTTGAGAAAATTTAGAACCTCCTTATAAATTGCAAATAAATATATTTTTATGTCTTAATTTTAATCGATTTGAATAAAAATCGATTAAACAACACCCTCAGGCACGCGTGTTGGACATCCCTTTCTGGTTACTTCGTAAAGCTTCGTGCTTATTCGGCAATGCTCGGTACACGGTAATATTTCTCAGTCACACGTTAGCATTGGTGTCGTGTTCGTGTCGCTATCTCTGTCTTGAGCACAGTCGGTTACAAAAGTTTTCGTTGTTATTGTTGTTTGTTTTTATTAATAGTGTTAAGTTTGTTTTGTTTGTTTTATTTGTTTTATTTGTTTTATTTGCAAGTGTCAGTTAGCACTTATATTATTCGCCAAACATGCCACCAAAACATAACAGTGTGTTAAATCGCCAGGCGAGAAAAATTATTTACGATTTAACGCAATATATGAAAAAAGAAAAAGAAGAAGGCGTAAAAGATGTCGATAAAGTTTATTTAAGAGTTGCTAACGCAACTGGTGTGTCCCAACGCACAGTACAGCGGATCGCAACTGAAGGCAATATTTCGGGCTTACTTTCAGTATTCCGCACGCCTGGTAAAAAAAGGTCTAGATCAAAACCTATTACTGATATGGATAATTTTGACCAGGGAGTAGTAAAAATATGCATACACAACTTCCACAAAACTGAAAAAGAAATGCCGACGATAAACAAATTACTAGCGAAACTCAAACGGGATATAAATTTTCAAGGTGGTAAAACGAGCTTAAAGACAATTATCAAAAACTTGGGTTTCAAGTGGCGAAAGACCGAAACCAATAGAATGGTTCTTATAGAGAAGACCGACATTCGCCTGAAAAGGATCTTGTACTTGAAGGCAATGAAAAAATACAGGGACGAAGGGCGACCAATTGTATTCACTGACGAGTCGTATGCCCACTCATCACATACAAAAGGTAAGGCGTGGTCAGATGGTTCCGCTCAAGGACTAAAGCGCCCGATATCAAAAGGTCAGCGGATAGTGATGGTACACGCTGGGTCAGAAGCAGGGTTTGTTCCGAACGCGCTACTAATGTTCAAATCTGGCAGCAAAACCGGAGACTATCATGATGACATGAATTTCAAAAATTATGAGAAATGGTTACGGACCCAACTGATTCCAAATTTGAGCCCTAACTCGGTGATGGTTATCGATAATGCTCCGTACCACAACAAATTAATGGATCCTGCCCCTACATCTAATGACAAGAAGGCAAAAATGGAATCGTGGTTATTAGAAAAGGGTATACCATATGAAAAGGACATGCGTAAACCACAACTTTACGATCTAATAAAAAAAAAAACAAAGACGTGAATAAAAAATACGTAATAGATGAAATGTTTAAACAAAACAACCACGATGTCCTTCGTTTACCCCCATATCATCCAGATTTAAACCCCATCGAGATGGTGTGGGCTGCCATTAAAGGGCACGTAGCCGCTAAAAACGTCGACTGGAACGTAACCCGGACAATGGAGCTCATACAAGAAAAAGTAAATTTAATGGGTCAGAATGAATGGAGTGCTTTATGCAGAAAAGTGCAAGAGGTCGAACATGACTATAGGAAGAGCGACCATATTATTGACGAAATGACGGATCAATTATTCATCATTAATACAGCTTCAGATTCAGAAAGTGAGTCTGAAAGTGAGAGCGACGATTACGAAGATGAACCTATGCCAAGTACCTCACATGGTACACAAGGGGCCGACGACTTTATGTTAGGAATTTCCCCCCTCAGCGACAGTGATTAAATAATAATAAGTGTAAATAAATAAAAAGTATTAAATGTAAATAATATTGTATGTGTTTGTGATAAAATCTGCCCCTATCGAAAGGTGAGGTATCAAAATTGAATCTTTAATTTATAATGTCTCCAAAGTGTTTTGATATTTTTGGTCACTGTATTAGGGAAATTTTATTTGTACATTGGTATATATAAAAAAATGACAATAACAGTTTTCTTCACGAGTGTTCATGCGCTAAACTTCGCAGAGCCTATATTCAGACTCGCCAAGATACGTCGGCCGTATAATACTTAAAGTCCACTGCGCATGTACAATCATACAGAAAAATGCGAATTGTATTATGACATTTTAATATGTAAAAAGTCATAGGTCGACATTATAACTACACATCAAAGCCTCCACGAAAACATATATCATCGTTAGGTTTAATTGCTGCTTAATAATTTTTATGTAACGTTAAAGACATAAAATATTTTATATTTGTAATTGCTGTTTTGTCTCAAGACGACAAACATGATTTTATTGTTAATAACTTTTTTTTATGTTAATGTATAAAGAAGTGTAATACACTGTTAGAAAACTTATTAAATACAGTGTTTAACGATGGTATTGTTTTTTTTTATTTCATTTAAAATATATACTTAAATTTATGAAGAAACATGTGTTTTTTCGGGGACTAGTTGAACCTCTCTTTTTCCTTACATAATGTACAGTCATCTTTCAATAGATCTTGCCAATTTTTACATAGCTCATAAAGTATTGCACACTCTTAACACCGATATCAATATTTAAGTCTTAAGTGCCAGGTTTATTGAAAAATTATTTACAATTTTTTTCAATATTGTATAACAGGTAGTCGCTAACACTTTCGATATCGATAGTACGCAAGACGATACAAGTGTGTGCGGGCGACGGGACGCAGGGAGACACTACGTGAGGATAGCGCATCGTCCGTTGCTATGGTTTCGCTTCCCCGTACCTCATACCGCACCGCACTGACACCTGTTTTACGCTTCTGCGCATTTTCATAATTCGTGGCGCAAACTATACTGAGGTGATCCTGTCAAATAATGTTCGGCGGAATATTCGATTCGGTAAAAGTTTTACCGAACTTTCGGCCGAATATTCGTATTCGGAGAAATCCATATTCGGCCCATCTCTAGTTGCTACTGAGAATTTCTTGACACAAAAACCCTATAACTAATTTTTTGGCAGAATTGGGTTGTATTCACCCCTTATTCCAAAACACGGACGGCCTTATTCCAAAACACGGACTAAATATAGTACTGGGGTTAGTACTAAGTTTATAGCACGAACTAAATAAAATATTATTACAACACGAAGACTATCTCTAGTTCTAGTTCTAGTAATAAGACCAATACAGTTTACAATGACTAGACCAACGAGTCAGAGATTAAAATTCTAACTGGCTGCAAAAGTTGTTTTATACATGTAGAAAAAAAAACTAAAACCATCAGAATATAGTGTATATATATGTATATAATAATGTTCATGGGCACAGAAACTTGGCCCACTCGTGAATTTGCTGATTGTTTGCATTGAAACGTTTTTTTAACAGTAAATTAAAGCTAGATGGATTCAATAAGTGTCTCTAATGGTTTTAGAACGTAGACATTTAATGTTTACTTTACCAAAATTTTTCTTTTCGAAATAAAATGTTTTCACTATAATTAACATCTTTCCATTGTCACTTTAAAAACACTACAAAGTAACGGTTGTTTTATATCATGATCAGGCATGCTTTGAATGATGTTTCTGAGAACTTGCGGTACGGTGTCCCATGCGGCCAGTGCTGTATTTCAAGCTCATGTAGAGTTCGTGGCGGTTTGGACTTTATCCTTCTTTTGAGCATGCCCCACACATGCAAAATTGGATTTAAGTCCGGGCTACGAGCTGGCCACTATAATTTTTGTATCCCAACCTCTTTCAGATATTCCTCTAAACAGTGTGCGACGTGTGGGCGTGCATTATCGTGTATGAGGAGGAATTGGTCGTGTCCAATGAACTCCGAATAAGGCATTACATACCCTTGAAGAACTTCCTCGATGTATCGAGTAGCTGTGAGCCGATTATCGACGATGACCAACTCTGTACGCGCGTCGGAACTTACACCTCCCCATACCATTATTGAGCCTCCATGGAAATTCACAGTTTGCATGGTGGTAATGGGTAGAAACCTTTGTCTTTTTCTCCACACTTGTTCTCGACCGCCTGGAGCACGTAAAGCTATTCGACACTCATCCGTGAACAACACTAGCCCATTTCTCATGAGTCCAATTGACATGTTCTCTTGCGAACTGAAGTTGGGCTACTCGATGCTGTCTGAGAAGTTCTGGACCTCGTGCTGGTCTACGAGCTTTTAAATCCACTTCCTCCATTCGTCTTCTCACCGTACGCTCACTAACATTAACGCCTCTTGCGATTTAGAGTCGCTGGCGTATCTCAACAGCGGTCAGGTAGCGGTTTCCCAAAATCTCCAGAACAATAAAACGATCATCCCAGGCCGTTGTGCACCTTACACCCCCATTGCCTGGCCTGCGGGTGTAGCTGCCTGGCTCCTGGTATCATTTCAGTGCATACTGCATTGAGGACCGTGGTACATTAAGCACAATAGCAACTTCACGCTGTGTCAGCCCTTGGTCTATTAATGCTACTGCTTGTGCGGGTGTTAATGGAATTTCTATTGGTTTTAAAGCACCTTTAGTTATTGAATTAAGACACAAGAACACAAGCCTCTAACTACCTTTAACTTGAGGGTAAACATTTTTTGACATGCCTGCATAACAAACATTCATCCGAAACACTTACAGCTTCGCGATCGCGAGATAAGCTCTTGGCCAAGATTCCGTGCCACTGAATGAAGTATTGATTCAATAATATAATTCCTTAAAAATATGAGCAGATGCAACTGACCTAAGTTACTTAACACTTTTACTAAGTGATCGGACTAATTTTTTGCCTAGACGTCTGTCTGGGTCGAGCAGCGAGCGAGAAGCACTGCTGTATCCCCGTCTGGGGGTATTTATGGTCATCATCATATATAATCTGAAGGTATTGGCAGAAAAAAACGCTAAGAAGCGCTTGTAAGCAAAATAAATAAGGTAACGTCAGCGGTAAGCACGCTGTCAAATGGTAAATAGCTTAACCGGGGAACCTAACCTAATTTGAATATATGTTTGTGAAGTATTCATATTAAAAACTTACCAATCTATAGTAATTATGTTTATTCATGTCATTATATTACTTGAAACTAATTGCACAAAACAACTTATAAACACTACTTCAAAACAAACAAAATAAAGAAGCAAAATGGCGGATTGTGTCAGCGCTACTGAAGTTAGTAAACATGTCCTGGCCTAAAACTGTATAGTTTCGCCATTTTGCTTACAAGCGCTTCCTAGCGCTTTTTTCTGCCAAACGCAGGTAGAGAGCCAGCATAATTACAGGCTGTGAAGTGTTCCATTTTATTACTCAGAGGTAACGAAACACCCGTAGTCTTCTTTGTTTGTTGGTTGCAGCTGTCCATGGGCTACAATTGCCATTCGATGGATGGTGATGTACCACCCATACTACCCAAATGTTAATAACCTACAACCTCTGAAACAACATTGTGGTATCTATATTACATAAAAAAAACATAAACACTCACGCCTGTCACCCAGAGGGGTAGGCAGAGACTACGGACTTCCATTTGGCACGATCCTGACATACCTCTTTCGCCTCCTTTACATCCATATATCTACGCATACATGCTCGTCGGTTAAGGGTACTTCTAACGTGGCCCATTTTCAAAATATCGCCAATTTGGTCGATAAACTTTTTCCTAGGGCGTCCCTTCCCGACTCTGCCATTCACATCTGCCATATAAATTTGCTTTGTCACTCTTTCTTCATTCATTCTTTCTACGTGACCAAACCACCGAAGCATTCCTTTCTTAATCCTGGTCACAACATCATCTTGCATACCACATTTATCTCTTATCACGCAATTTCTCACCCTGTCATTCAGATTACACCCTAGCATATTCCTTAAAGAATATGCTATATATATTCTTTAAGGAATATGCTATCTTTATAATATTCTATATTAGTAAGAGAGTAAGTTGAATGGCTGTTGTGATCTAAATCAGTGTGGGATCCCCAGTGACAGTAAATGAAACAGTGAATTGTATCATTTGTGCAACAATATAAGAAAACTAACAACAGTGTAGGGTGGCCAACCACTAGATGGAGTGATGACCAGGTAAGACATACGTCCATGTATCTAAATTACTCCAGATGGTCCGTAGGACCATGCTTTGTGGCATTGCTCGGAGGCAGCCTATGTTCAGCTATGGACTTGTGAAGAGCTGTAATTATGATGATGAAAGGAAAACATTATATTGTAAGTATAATTACAAAGAGGCGAGAAATGAAATTCATTATAAATACATCCTCATTATTGAACAGTACTCAGTACAGGACAGTTACTGTTTAATGAGGATGTGACACAGGTCACATACCGAGCACGCCAGCGATAGCACCAACAAACATACTGCTGAACGTCCCTCTAAAGCGACAGATTGTTGTAAATAAAGGATACCAAAAAAAATTATAAATACATACCACCATTCTATTGCATGTTCGATACTTTTGAAATGTGTGGGTCTACCCCTAAGAAAACTCTGCATGCTGGCCAGAGCTTCCATCGCCGTTCCTGAAATAAATAATAAAAACTTTGAACAAATTTTCACAGCATGCCAGAAAACTTTTACAGCAGTTCGTAAATTCAATTCAATAAAATTATTATAAGTGGCAATCAAAGGTAAAGAACTGATTCAATAGTCACTATTATTCTATTATTAGTGCATATTTAATGTTCAACATAATTCAACATGATATTGTATGATAGTGCGAATGGTACACACGCTGGTTTACACAACTCAATGACTGAGCGTATATTTTGCGTGTAGGGAGGAAGAGGATTAATGCTAACAAGCACATAGTCCACTTAATAGAAAGATCCATACACATTTATATCTATCCTCGATAAAGAATCCAAGTGTGGACAGATACGCATCTGCATGTCTAAGATGGGATGTCTCATTTCCAGCAAAGAAGGGTCTCCGGGTCTCTACACTCGCCATACAAAACACAGCAGCATTAAGCTGTTATTTAACGCTGGTATCCTCTGAGAGTGTGGTCGTATTCCGGTCGAGCCCACCCATTCGTGCTACAACCACAATAAAGCTAAAGCATGGCTCTACCATGTGCATCCTAACACTGGATTATGCTTAAGCCTGATACCTTTTTTCTTAACTAGTATTTAAGTCTAATAAAGCAATAATTCAAATTAATTTAGATGTAAAAGAATTTCATTGCAATAATTACTTATTACTTTTAGGTCCTTTTTAGTTCCTTCATGATGTAATTAGATGGTTATCCGATACAAAATATAAACAAGTTGTACACTTGCTTGACATTACAAGAAAAACAATGATATTATATGTACCTTAAACTTCAAATTTAGTTATAAAAAACCTTATAGGAATTTTATTACATTGAATATAATTGTGGGGATAATAATGGCATTACCTTCGACAACATCAATAACAGCAATGCCTTGTACATAATTATCGAGCACAGGCGAGTGTGCCGCACGTACCGCAATAGCTCCGCCCATTGAGTGACCCAAGAGGATAAGAGGCGGCGGCTCCTCATTATATAGCTTAAGTATGACTTGCTCCACATCCCTATAACGAAACAAAATAAAATTTATGTCTCTATTTAAAGTTCTAGTACCTGTGCGACCAAATTTTGTTTGATGTTAGAAAAACATATAATTTTCTCAGTGATGACATACACCTACTTTTTTTTATAGAACTGAAATGACAAACAAACCAACAGTCCACCTGGTCTGATGCTATCCATGGGTACCAGTAGCCAACATCAAACAAAAAAGGGTAGATGAGTTGTCACCTATGTGGACTAAGATGGGAATGCCTCAATACTCGCTCTCTATACCCTTCAGGCTGGAACTCAGCGGTGCAAGCACTGCTGATATTTGATGGTTATAGGATAATTATTCATTTTATACTGGTTGATGTTTTTTAACATCTAGAAAAAACAGGGTGTAACAGGTGAACGGAATAGAAGACTAGTATTTTTCGAATTTTTTACTTTTTCATTTTTATATAGAATTTATGTGTATGTCTTGTATATATATGTATGTATCTCTAATGTACTTATATGTTAGGACTAAGTATATATAGGTATATTTATGAGCAACATTTAATTTTAATTTATAAAAGTAATTATGGAAATGTATTTCATAAAATACACCCAGGCGGATCGTGCGTGTGTCTGTGGTTACCCTGCAGCATTATGCTGAGTGTGAGTCATAACCTTTTCATTGGCTCGATACACACCATGTCACTCGTAATATTAATCTACTAACTTTTAACTGTTTATTATTTTATTTTTATGATGTGTACAGTCCAGTGAATAAAGGTCCTTCTTTTTTTCTTTCCAGTAGAAATAGATCTGTCAATAAATACTACTATTTTGAAATAAACTTTCGTTACTAAAAAAATAAAAACAAAAACTTTGAACTAAATAAATAAATTAAAGACTATCTAAATTAAAATAATATGCACCAAATTATGGCATTACCATACCATACCATGGCACTAACATGCATTTTAGAAATAATTTTCTGCCTCACACAATAATATAGTGGAATTTACTGTCACCAGTGGTTTATGCGGACAGATATGACCATTCTAATGATGATTTAAAGCAATCGAATTGAATTTGTTTGTAAATAACTAACATCGTAAAAAAAATTCACATCAACCAAAATTTTTTTCTCTATGGGAGTGTACTGTATTCAGCAGTAGACTTTTATAGGCTGTAATGGAGAACAGAACCAAATTTGAATAAAACCACTACACTATTTAGTAGGGACAATCACAATCCATTTAGACCAACAACATGTTCTGGCACATCTTTTTTATGTATACAGGGTTATTTTGCAATAACTGGTCAAATTTGCAGAGAAGGTTCAGAATAGGTTAGAAATAGGCAAATGGTAAAGAAAAATTAGTTTAAAAAAAAATCTGAAACATTCTGTTCTTTCTATCTTTTAAATTCAAAATGCATGTTAATGCATTATTTTAATTGATTTTACTGTGCACGCACACATTCATAAGGGTCAACCGGTAGGCAAAAACTTTTTTGCCCATAAATTACAACATTCAATTTGGAATACTTTCAAATAAAAGTAGAAAACCATTATTTACTTGTATTTTCAAAAACTTATATAATGGTATATTATTATTTACATATTTGAACTTAAGTATAATATACTCTTTGAAATATAACCCTGTATAGGCCTGGAAGTTGCAGCATGAGGCAATCCATTACAACCTTTCATCCAATGGATGTCATGAGGCGACAGGGGAAAACAAAACAGAAGATGGGCAGCACTTATACTCTTAGACAAACTAATAAATCACTGAAAAATTATAATACATTGCCAATAAACCTTCCAAGGTGGCAAATATTGTCTCCTCTACGACTCAATCTATGGGGAAGACCTATGTTCAGCTGTCGACTTTTGATAGGCTGTATTGAATGCATGACAAATAATGTATAATCTAAATGTGACTATATGAAATTATGAACTTAATTTTGTCTAAAGGACTCACCTAACTAATGTGTCAATGTTCAAGTCATCAGGATCTTTCACTTTAGTCTCACCATGGCCTCTTATATCCATGGATACAACTTGACAGTGGATCATATTTGTTATTTCTTCCTGAAAATAAAGGAATAACATAGCACTAAAACAAACAAACAGTGGGAAACAAACCCATAGATGGGTGCAGCATCTTCCTAGCAACAACAAAAAAATGCTGTATTCTACCTGTGACATGTAATAAACAATTTGAATTTGCTTGCCAAATGTGGCAACTGCGTAGGGTTGTCACCCATACTATAATATATAGTTAGTATCTTACTATATTTCAGTCAATTGTACTATATATTATAGAAAAATAATATAGTATGGAAAATACTATATTTTATCTCTAATTCAATTGTTGTGCTTTTTATATTAAGTGCAACTGGAAGCCTGGAACAAGTAAGTTTTATGGAAAGTGGAAATAGAGAATCTATTAATTTAATTAAAAATGAATCTAAATTGCTCAGATTCCTATAAATATTTTAAAAGTAATAGGTCACTGATGGCCAATTCATAGAGATTAAAAATAAATGTGTACTTTTTTCCGAATTTACGACAAGTACTACATTATTGCATCTTTTTTGGAAAAATACTATATTTGTTCAAAAAAAGGTGGCAGCCCTACAACTGAGGCAAATATTTTCTCTATGAGGTAATGGGGGAGGCATTTATTGCGCCAGTGGACTTTTAATTGTAACATAACTGTAACAGTAATAGTATGGTACTTAAACACTATTGTATGAAGTATATAAATTATTTCATAATGAAATTTACCCATTTTAATTCTCATTACACTAAATGGTAGAACATCTTTTCTGGCTAAAAGTGTTCTTTATTATACCACCTTCTATCCTATTTGTTGTACCAAACAACAGTACGTTCACAGAAATGTTTAGGCTAAATGGCGTGGAAAACTAAATTTACCTATCCCAATCACAGGCTCAAAGTAGTAAGCCTTTCAATGTTCCACAGGATATATTTAGAAGTGTGCCAGGAACTGCATGACTTATTTCCTCCCTCTTTCTTTCATGATAGCTACCCTTTTGTTGTTGACATGCATGTGACATTTGACATTTTCGTCATTCAGCATGCATACAGCAAGAGTGAAGTAATTTGCCATCATTTATACTATTGTAGAGTAGGAAAGCCATATTGTAGGCTTATGAAAAAACTAAGATTAGACAATGTGTTGTCAGTAAATAAAAGGTATGAATTCAATTTGTGTTTTAGTCGTGAAATCCCCATAAATACACAATATTTGGCGATGTATTTATATGTACGTAAATGTATTATTATGTATGTAGGAAGGTAGTTAAATAGAATTAATTTACAATCACAGAATACAGGGATCACAGATAATCAACTATAAATTGTACTGAGACTAATTTAATAGCTGATAATAGTAATAATAATAAATGCCTTTATAATTTTCTCACCTGGTTGGGTTCTATAAATATATAATTATAAATTAAAATGAAAAGATAAATATACATAAATATCAATAAAATAAAATAAACACAAAAACTACATAAATAAATAAATAAGATCCAACCAGATGGGAGCCCTCGGTAGGGGAGACCAAACGGCCGAGGGTGAGGGGGAAAGGGAAAGAAACCGGCGGACGATGCGGGCGGTATCGAGGAGCACCGCCTTCTGCATTTGAGCCCGGAACGGTCCGTCACAGAGTCCCAGTCGCCTAAGATGACCCGAGAGGCTGACTGGGATTAGCCCATTCGCAGAGACGACTACAGGAATAATTTCGGTCGGCATACCACCCCACATGTCGGTCACCTCGTGAGCCAGGTCTAGATATTTTGTTCGTTTCTCTGTTTCGGCTTTCACGAGGTTCTCGTCATACGGAATGGTAATGTCGATCAAAAATATCCTTGACTGTGCCCGGTCCATCAGCACAATATCAGGCTTATTCGCAAGAATAGTCCTGTCTGTGCGGCGGTCATTTTCGAGCACGGCTTCCGGCAAGTACTTGTAATACGGCAATTTTCGGTCCACGAGACCGTATTTCAGAGCGAGCTCCTGGAGTAGAATTCTGGCTACTAGGTTGTGCCTGTGCAAGTACTCAGAGTTAGAAAGCGCCGAACAACCGAAGATGACATGCCTAAGTGACTCCCCGGGATGGCGACAAGCTCGACAGACGTCGACAGTGTCATCCAGGATGTATCTCCGATAGTTGTTGGTCTTAATAACCTGATCCTGTATTGCACAGACAAAACCCTCGGTTTCCCCGAAGAGGTCACCGAAACGTAGCCAGTTGAGGGAGGCGGCTGTATCTACGTGAAGCTCATGTAGAGCCCTGTAGTACCTCCCGTGGAGCTCCTTCTCCTTCCATACGGTGTCCCGGTCGGAAATGCTCTGTACTGCCGGGTCTTGCCATTGCTCGTTGGCTAAGGATAGAGGGGTAAGTCCTTTATCACTAGAAATGGCGTCATTATAGAATGGATCATCCGATCTCGCCAGGAAGTAATGACGGAGACTGCACACTTCGCGATTATGCATGGTGAGCGCGCTCAGGAAGCCACGCCCACCATGCATAAACTATATAGATACTATATACAACTATATAGATACCCCAAATAATAATAATAATAGATACCGCCCGCATCGTCCGCCGGTTTCTTTCCCTTTCCCCCTAACCCTCGGCCGTTTGGTCTCCCCTGCCGAGGGCTTCCATCTGGTTGAGCTTTTATTTATATATTATGTATTTTTATATTTATTTTATGTTATTGATATTTACGTATATTTATTTATCTTTTCATTTTCATTTATAATTATATATTTATAGAACCCAACCAGATGAGAAAACTATATTTATACCCCCCAATAAATGCCTTTTATTCAGACAATGTTAGTTTATACTTTCTTCCATATATTTTTCTTTTTATAGACTAATTTTGCTTCAACATCCCTGTCTGTGTGCCTCTTTTGACAAAGGCCTCCTCCAACTGTGACTATTTTTCTCTGTCACCAGCCACTCTTGTCCATGTGCCACCTGCAACAGCCTTTATTTCATCGATCCATCTTATGGATGGTCTTCCTCGTTTCCTTCTCCTGTTTCTTGTGAACCAGAACATTATTGGTTTTGACCATTTTTTTTTGCCCCTAATTGTATGCCCTATCCATTTCCATTTTAGTTTTCTTATGGTTATTGTAATGTCCCCTGTTCCGGTGTGTTTCTTTATGGTTGTAGTTCTTATTTTATCTGTCAGTTTTTTGGCCATCATACTCCTTTCCATAGCATTTTGGCACACAGCAAGTTTTCTGTTGTGAGATTTAGTAAGTGCCCAGGTTTGGCAACTATATGACAATACAGGCAATATACAAGTATCAAACAGTTTCCACTTGATGGTCATACTTATTTCTCTGTTTTTCATAAATCTTTCAGACTCCAATATTGTTTCCATGCGTTCCCAATGCATCTATCAATTTCTTTTGAAGTTGCATCTGTTGGCGAGATTACCTGACCCAGATATACATATTCATTTTCATAATCAATTCTGTTGTTGTTAATACATATAGGTTCTTTCCTCCCATTTGTCATGACTTTTGTTTTTTGTTCATTCATGACTAATCCCACTCTACGACTTACAATGTCTAGGTAATTTAGCATTGCCTATAGCCCTTCTTCCGATGGTGAGAAGATTATCACATCGTCTGCAAATCTTAAGTGCGACAGATTTTCTCCGTTGATTGATAGTCCGCATTTCTCCCAGTTCAGGTGATGGAAAACCTCCTCCAGAACAGCTGTAAAAAGTTTGGGTGACATGGGGTCGTATGTCCTTGGTGTACACCTCTTCCTATTTTTATTTCCTTGCCTTCTCTTTCTAGTTGGATTCTAGCTTTGCTGTTTTTATATATGTTTTTTATTATTCTTATGTTTTATTTAACTCCGCCATTGCCGGTCCCAAGCCCGGATGAGAAAGGAGGAGGGGACGGTTCCGCCGGAGAGAGTGGGTGTATCCGGTGGACTAACACACCCACCTGCGCTAGGACCTGCGCAGTCGAGCGCCGTACGCGGGGATGAAGGAGTCCTGGAGGGTTGAGCCGATCGTCGCTGGGGTATATAGTGGCGAGAGGCAACACGCCCTCTTTGGTCCGGATTTCAAGCTAAACGGTGGCCCTATCTGCTAGCCACAGATAGGGAAATGGCCAAGGCGCGAGGGATGTGGGGGCTGCCTAGTTTTCCTGAAAAGGGGGGCTGGGTTGTGGTAAAGGCCATGCTGACGGAGCAAGTGACAGTTTATTCGGGTGGTGGGGATGGGCCTTGTCAGCCCCATCTACCAGCTGGATCGAGCTCCCGATGTCGCGCTGTGAGCCAACTTCGCGTCCCTATATTCTCCCGGTAATCCTAACGCCTGAAATAGGGCGTTCCCAAAGGTGCGGGCTCCATGGAGGGTGGGAAGCCGGGGGGGATGAATTTTAAAGAACAAAATATTATGGACAATTTAAGGCCCAATAAGAAAGAGGGAGAGGTGTCAGAGGTGCTTACCAGAGACACCAATGAACAAGGGGGAACCGTCACTAAACCGACGGTTCCACGGACAGTACCGTCCAGCGCAGGTGCCCCCATCAAAGGGACAACTACCTCGCTGAACGTTTCCAAAACCAGTTCCAAGGAGCTGGAGGGGAAAAAAGAACAAGAGCCCGCGAGTGACAAAACTGCGGAGCCAATACGAACTGACGACCTTTTCTCTGCTGCCTGGCAAGTGGTGAGCCGTAAGGGGAAAGGCAAGGCACCCAAAAAGGTGACTTGCCGACCTGACGGACCATCAGGAGGGTCTATCCCTGCAGGCAGTAGTGGAAAGGCCAAAAAGAAGAACAAGAAGCAGCGGGAAAAAGGCCGAAGAGAACGAGCCGCATTGGCTGCTTCCGAAACTAAAACCAAGGAGGCTGGGCAAGCTACTGCGACTGGGGTGCTTGGAGCTGGAACCAGTAGCCGCACTGAAGCTGGGAAGGATAAAAATCCAGACCAAGTGGAAGTCGCGGCCGCGGGAACCAGATCTAGGATATCCGCCAGGAAGCAGCGAGCGTCCAAGCGTCCTGGTAAGAAGGAAAGAGCA